CAAAAAGTTCGAACTTTCAACTTTTAATTTTGACATATTTGTCAACTTCATAAAAAATCCTTTAAAATGAGTCCAAACTCGACATATTTAACTTTAATATTAATGGAAATACAATCACTTCCGGTTTGAAACGTCAACGTCAATTTTGACACATGTATTTGTCATCTTCATTAAAAAAACCTTTAAAATGAGTCCAAACATGACGCACTTATCTCAAAAAACAAAAAAATTTGAATAAAAAAACGTTAAACCCGAAGTTAGCTACAATGAAGATAGCAATTCAATTATTAAATATTAATACCAACCTTAATTTTTAATTTTGTTTTATTTATTTTTGTTTTTGTGATAAATTTTAAGACACGTTATGGAAATTAAGAATTTGGCAAAATGACATTGACATTTCAAACCGGAAGTTGTCATATCTCGACTAATATTAGAATTAAACGTATGATGTTTGGGCTCATTTTAAAGGATTTTTCACGACAATTACAAATATGTCAAAATTGACGTTGACATTTCTAACCGGAAGTTGACCATAACTTCATTAATAGTGAAGATAAATATGTCGTGTTTGCACTCATTTTAAAGGATTTTGAATGAAGATTACAAATATGTCAAAATTGAGGTTGACATTATAAATCTGAAGTTAGTTATCATATAATAGACAAATGGACAACTTCATGGTATTCTTTTATAATGTATTCTTTATTAAAAAAAAACATTAAAATGAATCCAAACATGATGTTGCTAGATATTACTATGTTGTATATATTTATTGCACTAAAACTAGAACTAACACTAGACCTAGAATTAGAAAATTAGAACTTTCTAGATCTAGGTCTAGTTTTAATTGTTACTAAGCGTTAAATTGTTGTTTTCATGTTATTAGTTAAATTTTCTTAATAAACAATTTTTGAATTTTTTTCAAAAATTTTCTGGTATAAGGGTACTAAAATTTTACGTCATCGTAAAGAGAAAACAAATCTCTATCAAATGAGCCTAACGAAAGGATACATTGCCATTTAAAAAACTTCAAGTGTTATTCGTTGCTCATTTGTTTTCCCAAATAAAAACAATTGAATGCCTTATTATGACAAACAAAATATTAAACAACTTTTGTTGTATAAATTGTTTTTTTATAAAGTTGATACTTACCAAGATATATACTATATTCCATACATAATGGGCATCATGTATATTATACAGAGCGTTCAACAATGATTGTAAGTTATCGACGTATTTTTAACAATCAGTGGCATGGTATGTTTTAATTGCTTTCGAGTTAACAAGTTTCAACATTTATTATGACAAAATGTGAATAAATTAATTGATTTCATACATATTTTTAAATTTTGTTAGTAAAGTTACACATTGATAAATTTTAAACATAAATTTTTTAACCTCATACATTTTTTAATGCCTTCGAAATTTTTCCTATGATACGCCTATGTTTATTAGTTTTCTCATACCAGCCTTAAAAATTAAACACAAAAGCGGGAAATCCAAACACCTTACAATCATTGTTGAACGCTCTGTATTATACTTTTCCTCCAATGACGTCACATTTCCTACCTCACCCCGTCAACGACAATTTGTTCGAGTTGGATAACCTTATAAGCAATACTCAAGGACCTTGCATGAAAGCAATACTAACTCTCTCTCATACTACTTAATCTACTTTAAAATACAATTTATATTATTAACTACTTTACAATACCAAATATGTATATCATTTTGTAGAGAAATTTGAGTTATTGTGTTCTATAAATAAATATGTAAGTGGCATAAAATCGCAAATATACAGAGAGGAAACTTCCCCCAATATGTGTAAAAATGACCGTTGGTCCTTAATTTATACTTATAAGACTTCGAAGCGGAGCTAAATAGAAATGCAAAGACGATAAGAAACCACAAAAAAAATATCTTCTTGCCGATCACAAATGTCAAAGGTTTCCTTGCCTAACTTTTAGAACGAAGTTTTAAATTTTACATGTTATAACAAGGAATCAAATTAAACCGAATCTAGCCAATATAAAGTTAATCTTATAATCGTTTCATGTGCGCAAACAGCGTATTCTTCTCTTATCTATTATGTAAAGAATTAAATAATCTTAAAGGTCAACTAAAAATAAAAACATAAACCATTTAAAAACACCAAATTCACTCATTATTTTCGTTAACAAGCAAAACTATAAATAAAGTTTGTTTATCCCACCACCTAATTAACTGAAATTTATATTTTTTGTACAATTTAAATTTTTAAAGTGTTTCCATAAAATCGAAAACGTTACAATAATAAACATATAATAAAATAGTAATAAATTATTTAAGTTATAGAATAGAACGTATGCGCAAACTCACGATGAGTTGTATTTATTATAAGATAAAAAGTGAACACGCGGTCTTCTTGCAGTTGATAAAACCGATTTAATTCGAGAAGATTGACCGAGAGAAAGTTTAGTTGTAGTTCTTTTTCTGTTGTAACATTTTCGTTGAGAATGTCTGAGGAATTTTTAATTCATGGGCCCAACAGATTGATTCCAATACCAGAAATTTCAATTGGTAAAAGAATTTATGACAGTTTAAAAGAAGCGGGACCAGAGGAAGTTGCATATGTAAGTTAAAAGATTTTAAATTGAAACATAATTATTTTAAATAATGTAATTACATAATGCGAACTTTGAAGACTGTTAAACTCAGTTACGCATTATTTGATGATAACCTTATGTCAACATTAAAAAGTGAGAATTTTAAACCCACAATTACCAAAATTTATATAATTTAGACACCTTTAAATTTAAAAATAATTGTAATTTATGATAAAGTCTTAGAAATCGAAACTTATTTCGTTAAAAATCTTGCAATACTCAAAGGTCACAAGAGACATGTTTTCGTTTATAAGTCACAAAGAAAATGTTGGGTAATATCGAGTGCATTTTCGGTTAAAAATGTCTTAATGATATTCTTAATGTCTCCAGCTATAACATGAGTAGCAAAAATTAAAAATTTACAAACCCTGAAAAAGTAATGGTTAGGTATGGTGCGGAACTCATCTTTGAGAGGAAAATCCTGTGTACGATTTTCAAAAGGAACATGGCGACGAAGATACAACTTTAAATTATACCAACTGGTGGGAAAACACGAAGAACTAGGTGTTATGGCTAGAATTGAGGTCATGCTGAAGAGGATCGTGTATGCCAAACAACAAGGAAAGCAAAAACAAGGAAGGTCTAAACTCAGATTGGATTTATAGGCTGAAGAACAGCTGGAGGACACTTGGCGAGGCCAGAATCCGCAGAATTGTAGTCCCACAAATGATGATGATGATTGAGTGAAGAAAACCAAGAAATCTATGAAGTAGGAAAATATATGAGATAATCTTTTTGCAAATATCCGCAATATGATTCTTAATCTCAAGTAGGTAGGATCAACCGTTAAATCTAGTATTTTGGCAAACCAGTGGCCGAGGCTATACAATTAATATCATATCAACCCGAACCTGATCATCACATCGTTGCGCCTCGATCGCAAGCGGCCTCGGGTTCATATAAAGTTAGAAATGTATGATTTTATCTGATTAAACCAAAATAGCTTGCGACCGAGGTTCTACAATTAATATCATGTCAACCCGAAACTGATCATGACATTGATGCGACTCCTCCAAAAGCCGCCTCAGCTTTAGCTAAAGTAGGAAATGTATGATTTCATCTAATTAAGCCGAGGTCGACGGTAAATATGTTGAGGATATTAAAATATAATGTTATAATATAAATGTTAAAAAAAAACATAATGTTGGAGAAATAACCACCGATCGAGACCATCATAGTTCTTCCACACAGATAGGAGGCAAACCATCGAATCAAGTATTCATCTATACCGAACTGTCGAAGTTTTGTAAGCAAAAGTTTATGATCTACCCGGTCGAAAGCCTTACTGAAACCATCGAATCAAGTATTCATCTATACCGAACTGTCGAAGTTTTGTAAGCAAAAGTTTATGATCTACCCGGTCGAAAGCCTTACTGAAATCCGTGTAAATAGAATCAACTAGATAAAAATCATCAATTGACTTTAATATGTAGTGAGTATACTCCAGCAAGTTACTCTCGACCGAGCGTCTCGCAAAAAAGCCACTGTGAAAAATAGTCTATCATAAATAAGCTTTTCAAACATTTTGCTGAACAGAGGTAGTAACTATATAGGTCTATAATTCGAAACCTCACTAGCATGTCTGGATTTGAAGATAGGAGTTATATTAGCCTCCTTCCAAACGCGTGGAAGAACTCTAGATTGAATGGACCGGTTGAATATAAAAGTTGAAGGAAGCGATAATGTTTCCGAGCAATTGCTAATTATAATAACTGGAATACGGTCCGCTCCTCTTGGACACATCGATACCTCTCAACGCCTCCTCAACCTCTGAACGCTTAAAGTATATCGCATAGACATGGTCAATATCCTCGCCAATCTTGAAGCAGCGAGAAAACTGTCCGGCCCTGTATAATTCAAGAATCTTTCTATCATTTAATGCAAGAAATCTTTAATATCCTTTTCTATTTCCCACCAACACCGTGGCATCTCTCCAGATGCTATTCTGTCGTTAGTATTCTCGCTATTGCTTTTCCTCCTGCTTTTATATATTTTTGCCTTTCATACTTTTTTAACTGATACTTCCTCTCCCAACCTCTGCAAGTATTTCCACTAAACTAGCTGTATCCTTCAATATACCCCAATATACACTACTCTCCAAAATTATCGCACCACCTAAATTATGCATTAAGTTTAAAGGTATTTTTTTTTGAATCAACGGATGGATTTTGATGATTCTTTCTTCACGGTATAGGTTGATTTTTAAGGAAGAAATGTGTTGATGGTTTCTGACAATTGTCAACGTTTTACCCATATACGGGGTGTAAAAAGAAATTTATGTTTTTTCTTCTAAATTTGCAACACCCTGTGGAATTTATCAGAAAGAACCGCTACATTCCATTGACATTACGTTAGAATGGCAACCCTTCTCTACATTTTCGTTCAAGAATCATTTCGATATCTCTTTTATCAAGGGAGATGCGCATTTTTTAAGTTTGACTTAATTTTGTTGAAATGTAGTCCTTACTAATGAAACAAGCAGGCTATGAAATATCAAACAGTTTGACAGAAATGCTTGTCAATTTTATTTAGGCATTTAGCAAGTTGCTGCTTTGGGTTATTAAGTGTTTATTTGACATGGACCGTATTTCAAGACATTTAAACCGCGATGAGTGTGTTGAGGCAGTTACTTTAGCCAATGAAGGAATAAGTTATCGTGAAATAGGCTTGAGATTAGGTGTTTCTCATACAACAATATCACGTGCCGTTCAACGATTTCAAGAGACAAATGATCATACAAGATGACCTGGACAAGGAAGAAGGAGAGTCACAACACTACGCCAAGATCGTTTTATTAGATTTCGTGCTTTAAGGGAACGTTTTGTTACAATGAGAAACTTACAGATACAAGTAGCAGATGTTCATAATATTCGAATTAGTACTAATACTGACATTTTATCGGAACACGTGGTACCCTTTGCTCCTTACATAGGAAATAATTTTTTATTAATGCATGATAATGCAAGACCTCATGTTGCCTATACGGTCCGTGACTATTTGGATGAAGTTGGTATACAAACCATGGACTGGCCACCCTGTAGCCCTGATCTCAATCCAATAGAGAATTTATGGGATATTGATCGTCAGTTAAGGGGCCGACATCCACCACCTATCGTTTTGGACGACGTTGAGAGGATGGTAAGAGATGTTTGGGATGTAATTGATCAAGATCAAATTCGACGCTTGATTTTAAGTATGCCTCGTCGCTGTGAAGAAGTGAGTAAGTAAGAGAGGGGGGAAATACACGTTATTAGGTGATTTTGAGAGAATTGATTAAGGATTATGTAGTGTTTTTTAGTTTTCACTTACTTGTTTAAAATGTTAATAAAAATTCGTTACATTTAAACTTGTGTATCTTCCTTTATAAAAGAGATATCAAGATGATTCTTGAACGAAAATGTAGAGAAGGGTTGCCATTCTAACGTAATGTAAATGGAATGTAGCGGTTCTTTCTGATAAATTCCACAGGGTGTTGCAAAATTAGAAGAAAAAACATAAATTTCTTTTTACACCCCGTATATGGGTAAAACGTTGACAATAATTGTCAGAAACCATCAACACATTTCTTCCTTAAAAATCAACTTATATCGTGAAGAAAGAATCATCAAAATCCATTCGTTGATTCAAAAAAAAATACCTTTAAACTTAATGCATAATTTAGGTGGTGCGATAATTTTGGAGAGTAGTGTAGATTGTATTCCCAGATCATTCTTAACAGCGACATTCCTTATTTTATCCCTCTTACTCTTCTGAGGTAGCGCATTTCTCTTCTCGCCGCTTATATCTTTGTCATCAGTTATTCTGTTATGGTCCAAGTTTAGTTAAAAGTGACTATTGGTATGTTGTTTATTGTTTATGCCACTTGTTCTATCTCCCCCGCCTCAATTCGTATGTGTATATCGATGGTGCTAAGCCAAAATGGCATAAACGCCAAAATGGTCACTTTTTGCTTAGCTACACTATTGAAGGAGGAATTTTTAAATCTGCATCCAAGTATATATTGTTACCTTTCTACTGATTTCGTCAGTTCAAACTTGTTCCTAAAAAACAAACGGAAACATTAAACAATTAAAAAATAAATAATAAAATAAGTTAATGACTTAAATATTTACAGATCGACGTTAAAACGGAACGTTTTTTAACTCACAACAATTTCTTAAAATTAACATGTCGCCTTGCAAGAGCTCTACAAAATTGTGGTTACAAATCCAACGATGTCATCTCAATTTCCGGTGAAAATAATAATTACTTCTTCGTGCCGGTTGTTGCTGGGTTCTATTTAGGGATGATAAGCGCACCATTAAATCATAATTACACCGAGAGTAATGTCTTATATGTCTTAATCTTAAAAAAAACACGATTTAATATGTTAATTTTTAGGAGAATTATTACATTCAGCTGGTATAGCAAAACCGAAAATTATATTTTGTTCCAAAACAAAATTAAAAACATACCTGGATTTACAACGAAAGGTTGATTATATTGAAAGAATCATTATTATGGACCCAATGGATAAAACGAGTGGTTTCGATACCATTGAGGATTTTATCGAAAAGCATTGCGAAAAAAATTTTAAAGAAGATGATCTTAAAATCACTGAGGTTAATATTTTTGAGCATTTAGCTTGTATTTTGTATTCTTCGGGAACAACTGGATTTCCAAAAGGAGTTATGACAACGCACGATAATATTGCGATGAGAATGAGTCATTTTAGGTACTATAAAAAATTTTATATCAATTTGATTAACATAAATTGTTTTTTAGAGATCCAAGAATTCATGCAGCTGGTCCAGAAACTATTATGGGATGTTTACCATTCTTTCACGGATATGGTTTTATGACCAACGTTACAGGTTTGGCTAAAAAAAACAAAATAGTTGTAATGCAACGTTTTGAAGAGGCAAAATTTTTAAAAGCCATCGAAAAGTTTAAAATCAACAACATCTCGATTGTTCCACCAATTATGAACTTTTTGGTTAAAAATCCTATGGTTGATAATTACGATTTAACAAGCCTCCATGAAATTACTTGCGGAGCCGCACCTTTAAGTCATGAATTAGAACAAACAGCAGATAAAAAGTAAACAAATAAAATTTAAAAAATAAAATGTAACATACTTTTTTTTAGATTCTCCTTCGTTTCTAACCTTCGTCAAGCTTACGGGTTAACAGAAGCAACGTTAGCTATAACAATGATGCCATCGAATGAACGAAGAAGTGGTTCATCAGGAAAAGTCGTCCCTGAAATGACCGTAAAAATATGTGACCCAGAAACAAGAAAAAGTTTAGGTCCAAATCAAATCGGCGAAATTTGCGTTAAAGGAAGAATGGTAACCAAAGGTTATTACGGAGATGAAAAAGCAACAAAGACTTGTTTCACCGACGATGGGTGGCTTCTCACAGGCGATTTAGCCTATTACGATAAAGATGGCTACTTTTACGTCGTCGATCGATTAAAAGAATTGATCAAATACAAGGCTTTTCAAGTAGCTCCAGCCGAATTAGAAGCCATTTTGATTGCAAACCCTAGGATTAAAGACGCGGGAGTTGTTGGAAAACCCGACGACGAAGCTGGAGAAGTTGCCACTGCTTTTATTGTTAAAGCTGATCAAAGTTTAACAGAAGACGAAGTCAAAAAGGTTATATCAGGTAAGTTTTGATTCAATTTTCGATAAAATTTTAATACATTTTTTTAAGATCAATTATCTAAACCAAAACATCTTCATGGTGGAGTTTATTTTGTCAATGAAATTCCTAAAAATCCAAGTGGAAAAATATTAAGGAGGCAATTACGTGATTTATTGGTGAAACAAAAAAGTAAATTGTAAAAAGCATGATTTTAGCTGTAAATAAAGAGATTTAATGAAATTTATCGCCTTTGTTCCCCGCAATCTCACTCAATCGTTCAACACGGAGAATCCGTAAATCTTCCTCTACTGCTATCTTCCATGTTCTTCATCGTGTCAGCACATGAGTCTGCCATGCGCCTCCAATGCAGTCATCGTAGGTCCCCCATTATGTTATCCAGCTCGTGGTTCATCCTGATACTCCAGCTACGCCTTCATCCTGGGTAGGACCAAAAATCTTATGGAGTATCTTCCACTCAAACAATCAGCGTGGTCTCTTCTTTTTGCGTTATCGGTCACAAGTGGATCCGCATTAATTATTTTTGTTGCCTGTGTCAGCAATAAAAGTCCGATCCACCTTGAAGTCCTGCTCGTCAATTTCGTCAGTCCACATCATATTTAGTATCGTCCGAATCTAGTAACAGCTGCTCAAAACGCTCACGAATTTCTATCCAACGGAGAAAATAACTTCATTTTCACAAGAGTTGGCATCTCTGGTTCCGTCATCAAAAATATGTCTTTTCGTTATGCGTCGCTGAGGTTCCATGGAAATTCCAAGTTCTTCACACATATTTTTTGCATAACTTACATCACCATCTGCCCATTCCTCTCGTTTCTCTCTCAGTGCCATCTGCAAAGCATTTATTTTCTGAACGCAGTGTCTTATATCAAGTGCCTTTGTTTGTAAATATTTTTATGCATCATTCACTTGATGTTGTCAGAGGTCCAAGAAACAAATTGAGGAAAATAACTCCATCGTAACTAGCAAAGTTCCTACTACAAAGCGACGAGAATGTCTTGGTAATGAAGCAATGTCATTTTTATGGCATCGCCTCTTACACTCCATCGCGTATCTTAAACCCATTTTTAAACTTTTCCCTGTAGCTGCTATCAGAAGTTCCCAACGATGTGTGGGTATGGAAAAAAATGAATAGCAACTTTCTAATGTGCCGAAAAAAGTTTCTGAACTTGCCCCAAGTTAGGCAGCGTGTAACGAATGATTTGAGCAAGGTACGAATTCAACTTTGGGATTTATTTCCTTAATTCTTTGCTGAACTCCTAAATGCATTCCAGTCATATCAGCAGCATTATCACATGCTTGGCCTCTACAGTTGGTAATATCGAGATCATCAACTTCAGGTTTGCTCAAAATGCTCTTTGGAATTCCTTCAGCAGTTTTATCTTTTGTTTCAATGAAATCTATAAATGATTCCACTACTTCCTCATTTTCAATCATTACGTATCTTAATGCCTGGCAGTGTAATTTCTGGATCAGTGTAGCTAATCGCTACAAAGTTTGCCACCACTTCTTCCGCGTCTCGGGCTCTATCGTTAGTCCTTGAATCTAAAGTTATTGTTTTGCTGCTCTCCTGCTCTTTTAACAGTCATGATTCATGAATGAGCATAGAGTAGCGATGGAAGATGTAGCAACGATAACTCCGGCGAAGCTACAATCAATAAGCTTAGGGTGAAATGGGGGATAGAGAAGGGGACACTAGACATAGATATAGGATGTGTAAGGACAATATGACAGCACTGGGGTGGTTGCTGATGAGTAAGAGAAGAAGTGCAGAAGTGTGAAAGTGTTTGAGAGCTTCGCTGAAGTGCAGGGAGAATGTAGTTATGACGGAGTCGATAAGGTGGTAAGCTCAGAAGCTGTGGAAGGGGATGTGAGGAGGGTGTCTGTAAAGGGGGGGGGGGCAGATGGATGGAATACGATTAGGGTACAGTGGTGTATAGATTTATGAAAGATAGGGCATTCAGCTGATGGCGGGACATGATCCACTCAATATATATTTGAGAAAATTTCGACTGAGGGAGACGAAAGGGATGTTTGTGTGTGGGGTAAGTGAGAACAACCTGCAGCATATCTTGCAGGAGTATCCGGATGGAAGGAGAGAAGAGATCTCGAGGAAGAGAGAAAGACTGAGAAAAGATAAAGAAGATTATGGATCACAGTGATATGCATGATTGGAACTGGCTGGCGGCAGGAGTTGTGTTTAGTTATGGCCAGTAGTGCTAGTTGTTGGTAGGCGCAGGCGGTAATAATTTGACATGGTGTGTTCGCAAATCAAATTATCACTATCAATTGAAATTTGTTCTAACAACAAAATAAAATACTACTTATTTAACTAATTACCCTCTTATTAAATAATTAATTAATTTGATGACTTTCTGATTATGAGTTAATTCTTAAATAATTTTCTTGATAATGTATAATGTGCCTTTAACTTGAATTCGTTCAAACTGCAGTCGAGAACGTACTACGGAAGTTTTCTGAGAGACTTACTTAATTACAAGAGATAAATAAGTCGTTAGAGGACGAGGAACGATCGAGTTGACAGTGAAAATAAATTTTAAAGTAAACCTGTTAATAATTTTATTATTGATCGTACTGATTGGACGATTTATTCAATTTTTTCATCATGTTTTAGTATTTTTTTTACCAAAAACTGCTCCATTATATATAGTTTCCGATATTTCTGGTGGTTTTTATGACTTAATTGCAGTCATATAACGAACAAAGATGGGGTTGTATACAGGTAGTTTACGAACCCCAAACTCTGGCGTGAGTTGTTCAGGTCCACATTAACGAAAATTTCAATAACATAATATTTAAAAACTTAAATATCATTACTTTGTGTGAAAATACAACAAATTATTTAAATCTATCTAAAAACTACATTTGCTTAAATAATTTATGATTATTATTATAAAATTTATTATCTTTTCACACTAATTCTAAGATAATTATAAAAAATATGTTTTAATTTTTATATTATAAATTAATACTTGCTTTTTTTTGTAAAATCATTTAAGTATAAGTAAATTTATATTCTTTACTACATTTCTGTTTTATTTTGTTGAATTTAAAATAAAATAAAAAAGAAGTGCGTCCCTGGACCTAGTTCCCTAGGAGGACCTATCATAAATCATGTCCAGGTACTTTTTCCGGGTGATAATTACTGCCACTACTGTTTTTGAGGGTCATAAAAACCACCAGAAATATTGGAGACTATACTCTTCCACATCCAGATTGGTTTATATGACAGTCATAAATAAAAGCTGTGGTGATTTCTGCCCGCTCGAGTAGCTGAAAAGATTTATGACAGTCAGTCAAGAACAGGGTAGAACTTAAATTTTTTTAAACTAAAATTTTATAAAAAACCAAAGTTTAGTTATAACAACTAAAATTTAATTATAAAAACTAGTATAAAAGTCTTAGAAAAAAATATGACTTTTAGGAATGCCTAAATAATAGAATAACAAAATTTTAAAGAATCTAATTATCCTCCGCTCTCTTTTATAATCAGACAATGCATGCCTTCTCAAAAGATTTCTTAGAAAAAATATGTACTTAATATTAGAAACACAACAAATAAGAGAATAATGAGTATTTATATATGTATCACCCTATTATTTTTCTACAATTTGCAAGTAAAGTGTGTTCCTTGATGCGGCCCTGAGTGAGGAATCCCAGCATTCTACAATGGGAAACTACCTGTTACAACCCCGTCTTTGTTCGTTTTACAAATACAGTAGGAAAATGACAGAGTCATAAAAACCGATCGCTATAGAAATATATAAAAAATATTCATTAATTTTTTACTTTCAGGATTAAAATGGATGAGAAATATGAGATAAATTAACTGAATTGAATCATGTAGTGAAGCGTCTTCCACCATTCCATCCAGAAGTACAAAAATATGTATTGGCAATTTATAAATATCTATCTGAAAATATCCTACTTAATCAGACTAATCAGATGTTTGGGGGCCATACCCAGAATGTTCATGTCCCCACAGCACCTATATGATGGCTTGAAAATAGTCGATATCACTTATTATAATGTAATATGTTGATTGATTCTCAATCTATACGCATAAACTTGGGGATTTATTCCTCATGACATGACACATAATTAGTTTCGTAGATATCTGATATAATCGGCGACATCTAGATAATGTATTTCCTGTAAGATGGATAAGTCGAGGTGATCCAATAGTCTGACCACCACGATCGTCTGTCCTCAATTCACTTGATTTATTTTTTCACTTAAAAAGCATAGTGTACGCCAAGGAAGTTAATACTGAGCAATATTGGATACATGCCGCTGCAGAGACAATTCGCCAATACCCTGGTTCAGGCTGCGCTAGTGGGAGATCATGGATTCGGGAAGCACAATTGTGTATAGAAAATATCAAAAATTACTTATGTATGTATTTTTGATTTGAAGGTAAATATCACAGATGTCTAGGAAACAGAAAAACTTTTATTACAAATTTATTTCGCCCATTAGTCATTATTTGTCATGAGAAACAAACCCCCAAGTTTATGGGTATAAGTTGAGAATCACCCTGTATTGCGGCTAGTCTGTTTACCAAGGATGTAGTGCCATTTAACAAATAATGAATTCATTAAATATTGTTATCAAAAGGACGAACATCGAATTAATGTACAGAAACGATACAACGAGTCACTGTCCAGAGAAGGTTGGAAAGCACGGAAAAAACAAAATCTTTAGCAATTATACTTGAATGTATAGATTGTAATCATAAAATTAGTGTAGATCATTTTGGGCTCTACATTGAAAATCATCATTGGCATGACAGCCCTTTGTGTGTCTTAACCTGTTCTAAGAGTGTCTCTATTCTGTTTCGCATCTTCCTTCTATAGTTCTCGCAACTGGTCCTTAAGAAATAAGAAAAGACCTGGAATTAATACCCACACTACAGTTTATAGAGCAAAGACAGCTCGGTTGGTGGGAACACTTACAAAGAACGGCAACTGTGAGAAAAACTAAACGCATGAGAGCCTAGATGTGGATGAAATAAATGAAGGGGAATACCATAACAAACGAACGAAGCAAGAATGAACTTCCAACCGGAAAAAGAAGGTTTTTCAAGAAAATCGAGCAATTCACTCGATTTCTTTCTTGAGTATAGCGTAATGTACCTACTGAAGGAATTATATTGTAAAAGTAGATGTCTAAATATGACCATTACATTTGCCGGTAATAAAGAACTCTATAAGTATAAAAGATTCGACTGAAAAAATTGTTATCCTTATTTAATAACTTTGAAACCACAAGAAAACCAATGTTTCAACGATTAGCAGCTATAGATAGTGATAGGTCGACTGATTCCTTGCGAATCTATTAATGTTAATAATATAAATTAAATAAAAGCAATAATTTTTCTGGTCTTTTTTATTTTACTGTCTGACCGGTTTCGGCTTACGCCATCATCAGAGACATTAATAATACATTATTAATTACATATGGTATGATACCATAAGTGCCTGTTAATCCTCGTATAACCGTGTTGATTTAAATTTTATTGTAAAATTTTAACTTTAACGTGCTTGGAATGTGTTTATACTTCATGATTTTTAATTTTTAACGTATATACTTGTAATATGATATATATGAGCAACAAAATGGATTTAAGGTGTTACCAAAATCTATTGTTGTACTATTAATGTCTCTGATGATGGCTTATGCTGAAACCGGTCAAACAGTAAAATAAAAAAGACCAGAAAAAGTATTTTTATTTAATTTATATTATAGAAAATACTGGTCAACATGGATCAAACTCGTTCATTTAATTATTGATGTTAAGTTCGATGCAGGTATTCTTTGGGGTGGTTGGGTGGAGAAGAAAACATGCTAAAAAGGCGAATCGGTCGTCATCATGTTTTATACATGGTGACGGTAAGATTATTATAAACAAGAGATTGTCATATAACCTCCCATATCCAATACCGATCTCACCTCCATGCAGTGAACCCTGGTAACCTGAGCAACCTCATCTAAGATGCGGTAGCCAACCTATATGGTGGATGAGGTCAAGGCCAACAGAGAGTGGCGGAAACGGTCCTTGCTTGGGGACAACAACCCCATCCTGTAAAACAAAAGTATGTTACGAAATCCAAAAAAATTAGCCTTGGAAAATGAATTGATGACTTGCTTAATAGCTATAATTAAAGAAATTGAATTTATAAAATTTTTATGACAATGTAAATTATTAAAAAATTAAAACGATAAATCATAATAAAAAGATATTAAACCCACACTTATTTAAATGTAAAGATTCATTGTTACAACTGTAATAATTTTGCAATGAAAACATTAATTTTTACCATCACCATCTTAGCAATAATATATTGCTATACAAGTAAGCTATTAATTTCTTTTGTAGCACAATTAAATTGATAAAATAAATTTTAGATGCCGAAGAAGAAAATTCAACATCAATTACAAAGCATAAGTCATTTATCTCTGTTATGCTACGTCCTCTCCTTCGCCAAATTCGTCCGCTTTTGGCAATTCCAGTGAAAATAGCCCAAATTCTACACTTAAATCGGCTCTTATTCATCAACAGCATCTACAACATAGCTAAAGAATTATTAGGGTTAATAGATATGTTGTAAAACAATGAAAATAATGTAGGAGGATTAATTTATGATATTAAAAGAATTACAAAGGTGACATAAAAAATGAAAAATCCTTACTTTGGTATGCTATAAAAAAATATTTATTTTCGAAACTCTAATAACTAAGACTCAAAATAAGTATGAAACAATCATTATTTTTGTAGGTATAACTAACGAAACAAAACAAAACTTTTTCGACGATAAACGAAACTTAACCAAACATTTTTAAGTTTATATATATATAAATCATAACTTATATAAACTTATAATTTGTTAACGCCATCGTAAATGTTTTTAAGTCATAATATAAAACGAAACAAAACAGAACTTCATAAACTTAAGTTAACTAAACTGCGAGGCACAGCATGTTGCAGATCCGTTTATTTTCGAATTCTTATAGTTAGAAATAAACTCAAAATAAATGTCTCACTATAAGTTAGCGAAAGAAACTATAAAGGGGGCGTTCTACTCGCGGCGATTACCATTCTTCATCCTTTTCCGCAACAAAGTCCTGAGCGATCGTTTGCCGATCTTGGCCATAACTGTCTCCGCGAACATCTTCGCCACCAAACGATGAAGACTCGTACATACTTCTTCCTTGTCCCGACTTTTCTAGCCAATCAGGAATTGGTTGGTCTGCTTGCTTTAATATTTTCACTAAATGACTTGCTAATTGTCTATCTGTGTCGCCATCAAATAAACTCGTTGCTTTACCACGATTTCCTAAAAAGAAAAAAATAAATTATTATAAATCAAACCTAGTTTGATTCAAGAGAATTCATAGAGAAAACAAAGGATTCAAATTTAAAGGTGCTCTAATGGTATCATTTGACGTCACTAATCTTTACTCCAACATCCCAATAAAATTCACGCTGGACATTAACTTTTTCATTCTGTCACCAATAACCCAGAAGAAATAGATCATTTCAATTAAATATTAAAACATATATGTACACAAAACTTTTGTACCCTCAATAACAACTACTATAACATAGCCAAAGGGTTACCTATGGGTATGCCACTATCTGGATTCCTTGCTGACATCTACGCAACCACGTAGAAAATGAATTCATAATCAACAATAACAACCCTTTTTTCAGCAATATTAAAAAGTTATTATGTAAATGACATTTTTTGCATTTGGGGAGGTAATCTTGAAACATTAAATTTATTTCAAAAACAAATTAATAACGCACACGAAAAACTAAAATTTACTCTCGAAATTGAAAAAGAAAAACAATTGAATTTCCTTAGGATTCTTAACAATAATGATAAAATTGAATATAACAGTTTTCGTAAACCTTTAACACTACCCATAACGATACCTTTTGATTCTGCCCATTTTTACTTAGAAAACTAAAGTACATTGAAAACCTTGCTAATGTCAATAGTTTCTCCCTCACCATAATCAATAAACTTATAAAAAACTATAAACTAAAAAGAGATCCTTTATATACTAAAAACAATACATATTACCATTTATAAATCCATACCCTACAATAATTTAACTATCCAATCTAAAGCCATTTTTGCAAAATATAACATAACATTGGCTTTCTCCAACAGCCACATAATAAGTAAGATTTTGTCAAACTACCATAATAAACAAGAAGCCTTGCAGAGCAACGGAGTTTACGCTGTTGAATATCACAATTGCAATGCTATACCTATACAGGGTGAGTTATTAATATCCCGGCGGACGATAGTTGCTAAACCGTTTGAGAAAGAAAAAAAATATTTTATACAAAAGTTGTTTGACTCACCACTTTCTATTACGTAAAATTATTTCACTTATACAGGTTGTTCCATTTAGGCGTAACGGAGAGTATACCGGGTGTCCCTCAAAAGTGGCTCACCCCCATATTTTTCTTTTAAAACTAATTTAATACAACTGTTAATTTACACCATTATTAAAAAAGAACCACTGACTAAAGCATAGCAGTGATCACTGCTCGAGAAATAGCAAATCAAGAGGGACATAACGTAGTTTATACTATTAACCTAGCTACTATGCGTCAAAAGTTGTAATACATTTTCCGAAGGTACTAAAACGTTATAAAATAACGAAAATAATTTTTTTTTCAAAAATTATAAGCTATCGTGAAAATTGTTTCAAGTAAAAGTTATGTGAAATTATACTATAAACCCAACTGAAGAAAAAAAAATTATAGATTTAAAAAAATAACGAAATTAGTACTCACATCCGGTATAACCGGAAGTACAAAAAGAATGATTTCATGTCATAATAATCCGTTTTAGCGACTAAGTATGCATTCCAAATGGTTTTCTTATTTCACCAATAATAAAGAAAAATATTGGGGTGAGCCACTTTTGAGGGACACCCGGTATAGATTTTTTAAATGGAACACCCTGTATATTTGATCATATTATGAATAGCATGAAATTTGTTTATACAACCGTATATGTTACTAACTCATAGCCTTCATAGTTCGTAAGATATTCAATTGTTTTTCCAAAATGTGTTCATTGCAGGATCTTTTTAAAAACTATGTAAAAACGACATTTTTTCTAATTTTGCCTTGAAACTATGTCAGATAATACTCAAAGCCAGTAGGTAAACGACAGTATCCAAAGATATTAGATACGCTATACAGCGTGTTCATAAAACTCAGTTACTTTTGATGTGTTTCAAATGGCTTTTTCATAAGTTTTTTAAATGGAACATCCTGTATATTGTGTGATAGTTGAATTGCCCATCAAGTTACCTTTAGTTAATGATAAGTATGTCATATATCTAACTTTAGTAGTTTTTCTGATATTTAGAATTTAAAGAATAATGTGTAATAAATTATTGTACTTGGATACATAAATTGGATCTTCTTGAAATGTCAGAAATAAAAAGATATGATAGTTTGCCCGAATATGAAACTCTAAATGATCAAACTTCATATTATTATAAACCCCTGTTCAACTATTTAAATAAGACCTCAAATTTTAAAACCTGATTTTGTTAAAAATGGTTTTAAAATCCCATTTTAAAGTCCCCTCCCTTTCTCATTCACTCTCCATCCGGTTTCATTATTTTATAGTTAAGACTAGTGTTGTATTATTGTTCACTTAACGTTTGAAAGTTTCAGTGATAGATTTTTATTTTTTCTGTTCATTTTGAGATGTAATAGTAATTTTCGTGTTTATTTTTAAGAGTTTTTAAATTAAACAAGTAAGAAGTTCTCCATTTGTTTTTTATTTTATAAAGAACATACCCTTCTATTCTATATTAACGTTCATTAAAACCTTTGGCTGGTTTCCTGAATGAACAGTAAATTGTGGGAATGTACAAAGGGGCCACTGGGGGCTAAGTACTGTGAAGAAATTCACCCCCACATGAAACTACATACAACTACTAATGTCCCACTTCTAGGTTGCTGCTTATCCCTTTCGCGACGATTTCTTTTCTGGGAGATATGGGAATACATAAAACTTAGTGGTACTTAAGTAATGAAGGTACTCCAAATCAAAAAGTCTACCATGTTGGATAAAGGAAGAATCAAAGATTTTCAAAGTTAAAAATGTTATAAAAATGACAACCTACTATATCAACAGTGAATGCAATTATTTTAATTGCAGCTCACTTTTAATGAGGTCAAAAAACGAACTATGTACAAGATCTTAAACAATTCCCTTCAACTTTTCCTCAGCAACTCTTATTCTTCTTGATATTTCCGCAAGGATCCTTCAAGAAATGAATTTTATAGCGAATTTTGAAAATTATCCATGAAAATTGCAACATCGAAAATGTTATCAAAACATCAAATATTGTTTTCTCAAAAACTAATAGTTATTTTTCAAAACGTGTTGGTTCATTGGAAAGAGGACACTTTTATTAACACTTTGGGAAATTTTTATACTAATACTCCAAGAACTAGATTTTATACGAATTTTTAAAACTTAATCGGGGAAAATTGTAAAATTCGAAAAAATTGTCGATCATTTCAAAAATTTATTTCTCAAGAACTGAAAGTTATTTTTCAAATCGGCTTGTTGCAATAAAAAGAGCATACTTTAATTAATAACTGGTGATATTTCCACAAGGATCCTTCAAGAAATTAATTTTATAGCGAATTTGGAAGTTATCGATGAAAATTGCAACATCGAAAATTTTTTCAAAACATCAAATATTGTTTTCTCAAAAACTAAAAGTTATTTTTCAAAACGTGTTGGTTCATTGGAAAGAGGGCACCTTTATTAACATTTTGGGAAATTTTCATACTCATATTCCAAGAACTGGATTTTATACGAATTTTTAAAACTTAATCGATGAAAATTGCAAAATTCGAACAAATTGTCGATCATTTCAAAAATTTATTTCTCAAGAACTGAAAGTGATTTTTCAAAGCGGCTTTTTGCATTAAAAAGATGGATGCTGTAATTAATAATTGGTGATATTTCCACAAGGATCATTCAAGAAATTAATTTTATCAAAACTTCAAATATTGTTTTCTCAAAAACTAAGTTATTTTTCAAAATTGGTTGGTTCATTGGAAAGAGGACACTTTTATTAACATTTGGGGAAATTTTCATACTCATATTCCAAGAACTGGATTTTATGCGAATTTTTAAAACTTAATCGGCGAAAATTGAAAATCGAAAAAATTGTCGATTACTTCAAAGATTTATTTCTGAAAAACTGAAAGTGATTTTTCAAAACGGCTTTTTGCATTAAAAAGAGGATACTTTAATTAATAATCGAAAGTGATAACAGCGACAGTTCTGTTAGTAATGAATGTGATGATGAATTATAAGCGAAAAGAAGAAAACTAGACGAAACTGCAACCAGAGATTTTATACAGAGTAATTCAAATTCAACCCCCACCATTGGGATCTCAGAAACCATAAGAGATACAGACATGGTTAAATGGGGGCAAAGTTGCGTATCTTCGAGCTCATCATTTTTCAACAAAGTTTTTGAATCTAGCCGTTTTAGTTTTTAAAATATGGCCGAAAAAGAAAAAAAATGACTTTCGTTTTTTGCCTATAACTTCTTTATTTTTCGTTTGTTAGTGAATCTGAAAAAACATTCTTAAGGCAATTTAATTAAGGCAGTTATTTATATGGTATTGTTACAATGAGGTTGCTAATGATAAATAAAGTTGTATTCAATGAAAAAAGTCCTATTGCGGTTGAACATTGAGGTCTTATATACCGATTGGTAACTTTAATTTTAGGAGATACACCCAACACGGACGTACGTATAAGTATACGTGTGTGTGCATATTCGGTGTCGTTAAGTGGGGGATAAACAAGCGTAGGGGTAATGCACAAATTGAATCGTTCATAGATTGTTGAGAGGCGAAGTTGGTCGCATCGCTTTGCAGTTAACCCTAGCAAAAAAAAACTAAGATGTTGTTTACTGTAGCGGAAAAGGTACAGATTATAAAATGGTTTTATGGTGGCAATTCTGTAGCNATGGATTTTATGCGAATTTTTAAAACTTAATCGGCGAAAATTGAAAATCGAAAAAATTGTCGATTACTTCAAAGATTTATTTCTGAAGAACTGAAAGTGATTTTTCAAAACGGCTTGTTGCATTAAAAAGAGGATACTTTAATTAATAATCGAAAGTGATAACAGCGACAGTTCTGTTAGTAATGAATGTGAAGATGAATTACAAGCGAAGAGAAGAAAACTAGACGAAACTGCAACAAGAGATACTCTGTATAAAGAGTAATTCAAATTCAACCCCCACCATTGGGATCTCAGAAACCATAAGAGATACAGACATGGTTAAATGGGGGCAAAGTTGCGTATCTTAGAGCTTATCATTTTTCAACAAAGTTTTTGAATCTAGCCGTTTTAGTTTTTAAAATATGGCCAAAAAAGAAAAAAAATGACTTTCGTTTTTTGCCTATAACTTCTTTATTTTTCGTGTGTTAGTGAATCTGAAAAAACATTCTTAAGGCAATTTAATTAAGGCAGTTATTTATATGGTATTGGGATTATTACAATGAGGTTGCTATTTATAAATAAAGTTGTATTCAATGAAAAAAGTCCTATAGAGTGCGTATGTGGTGGTGGTGGGGCTAATCAGAAAGTCAGACATGTTGGATGTACCGACCTGAACTTAGCTATAGTTTCAAATCTCTATTGTACCTACAATTATAATCTCACAATTCTCATAAATATATTGTTATTTTTATTAAAATTTTATTTTTGTTGGAGGTTTTCGAATTCTTTTTGTTTCACATATGTTTTTTATAATTTGGTAGGTTGGAAGATTATTTATACCAGTCCATAAAATGTTTCTGGTTAGTTGACTTGAAATTAACAATGAAGTTCAAGTAAAGTTTATTATTAAGGAATGTTCAGTTCTTTTAAAATAAATTAACAATTATTTATAAACAAAAGGTTAAGGTGATCAATCAGAATTGTTTTAAATATTTTCTTCTTAGTTTATGTTCTTTTAAAATACTATATAATTAATAATTATTTATTAATAAAAAGTTAATGTGTTTTGTTTTGGTTATTATTTTCTGTCTTTCCAGTTTATAATAATGTAAATTCTTGCATAAGTATATATAAGAATTTCGAATTTCCCGCTAAGTTGGTACATCTAACATGGCGACCTTTCTGGCTTCATTTTAGGCGTGGTGGGGACAACAGCATACGCACTCTAGATTATATATAAGACCNTTACGCACAAGAACGTTTTTCTGGGCAAGCAGCATCCAGAAAATATCGTGAAATGTACCCTTACAGAAGGCAGCCAAACCGGAAGATATTTCAAAATATTTATAATCGATTGGGTGAAACAGGTTCATTTCGTCCAAAATATCATACAGGACGTCCTAAGATTATCACTCCGCAGCAAGAAGATGAAATTTTGGTAAGAATTGCGCAAAATTCTGAAATAAGCACTCGTCGATTGTCTGCAGCAACTGGAATAAGCCAACCATCCGTGACTAGAATTTTACACAAGGAAAATTTATATCCCTATCATTTTATACCTGTGCAAAATTTACTTCCAACAGATTATCGAATCAGAGTTCAATTTTGTCAGTGGCTAAAAGGAAAATTGAATAATAATCCAACATTCATTGAGTTAAGGTTGAAAGAATTTATGTCTATTAAGTTTGACACACGATTTCTAAACAAAGGACTAGTACAACACCCTTGGCAAGTTATTTTAAAAGATGGCCTGTTTAGTCAAGATTCCAAAATGGTATAACACTTACCATTTTTCTTTTCCTAAAAAATATTATTGCCTGTTTTTCTGCCAAGAACGCGTTATTTAAAAAATTCATACTTCCGTATGTTATTTGTATTTCCTCCAAAATGATTTAACAAGTTTGTTAGAAGATGTGCCACTCAATATCTACAGAGAAATGTGGTTTCAACAAGATGGTTGCCCAGCTCATTCGGCTTGTCCTGTATGGGATTGCATACAGAATACCAAGAAAGATGGATTGGGCATCGTGGTTCCATTACGTGGCCTCCTCATTCTCTGGGTCTAAATCCCCTTGATTTTTTTATTAGGATTGCACAAAAGAAACAGTGTATTAAAAATCGATTAAAAATCTTGCCGAACTGCGCCACAATAGTTATACAGCAGCAGAAGAAATAAATGCAAAGAGATTTGCACAACTAGTAAAAAGATCTTTTCTGTGACGATGCAGAGCTTGTATTAGTGCCGACGGCAAATAATTTGAACATTTGCCTTAGTTTTAAGAAAATAATGCTAAAAAAGTAATAATAAATAAATTTGTTTGTTTAATTTTGTCGTTACGTTAACCTTATTTGAAAGAGTCTTTTTGTAAGACATAAGGGCAACCTTATGCAACATCTTGTTGAAACCACATTTTGTAGTTCGTAGATATTGACTGGCACATCTTCTAATAAAGTTAAGAGGAAATAGAAAGTAAATACACATAACACACAAAAGTATTAATTTTAAAAATAATTTGTTTTTTGCAGAAAAATAGGCAATAATAATTTTTATGATAAGAAAAATGGCAAGTGTTGTGCCATTTTGGAAACTTGACTAAACAGGCCATCTTTTAAAATTACTTGCCAAGGGTGTTGTACTACCCCGTTTTTTAGAAATCATGTGTCAAACTTGATAGACATAAATTCTTTCAACCTTAACTCAATCAAATTAATAGTTTTTTTTAACTAACGATTTTTGTTGTTTGATTTGTGACTTCTACAGTAGCATGGTTCATAAGGAATACATTATTAAAAAAATCACTATTAAATTGCGAACATTTCTGACCATAGTATCTAAAGATATGATGTACAGGACCGATTTTTAACGTTTTCAAAAATATGTCTATTACTACTTAACTAAGGGACATGGAATTTTTTTCTTATTTTTACCAGAACAAGTATGGGTTGGCTTCTCACCCGGTGCCCGCTTGACGTTGAGTTTCGGGACACCTGTATATAAGATCTCAATGGGGTTGAACTTGATTATTATCTGCAGTGTCCAACACCTAAAAGAGACACTAATTCCTGTGAATAGTGGAATACTAAGTAATAGGTTATAAGTAAAAATGGCCGGATAAGTCGCCACCACTAGTTATTACAAATAATGAACTAATTGTAAAACCAAAACAGAAAATCTTGTATAGATATGATAAAAATCAAGAATTTCGTTTTTTGCCTATAACTTCTTTATTTTTCGTTTGTTAGTGAATCTGAAAAAACATTCTTAAGGCAATTTAATTAAGGAAATTATTATTTGGTGTGAAAATCAAATATGGAGTTCATAAGAAAAAATAAACCTGAAGATAGTTTCACGAAAACGAAACGTCGTAGAAAATTTCTAGTTGTGTCATGACATTTTTCTTGAAAAGTTGCGTTATGAATGTTTTTTCAGATTCACGAAAAAACGAAAAATAAAGAAGTCATAGAAGTCACTAGTTATTACAAATAATGAACTAAAACCAAAACAGAAAATCTTGTATAGATATGATAAAAATCAAGCTATAAATGAAAATTGATTATAAAAGAAATACTTGATAGCATAAAATACCTAGTAATATAAAACATGTATCATTATGTTTTGTTTTATAAGTGGTATTTGAAATGTTGCCCATTTTCTTTCTTGTTATTATTATCATTAAGATCGAGTCAAGTAACAAATCTATCTTATTCATTGCCCCCATAAAAACCATTAGAATCAATAATAATGGTGATCTTTTTTCTTTATTATTAATGTGATATTAAAATATTAAAGCGAAATTCAGGAGTAACAGCAGCTTTCCTTGAAGCGCATTCTTCGCTAATTTTTTAAAAAAGGGTTTTTCTCAAATATTTCTAGAATTCCAAGTAACCAAAACTGAAGCTCTATCTAAAGATAATTTGTTAGTCAAATGTTTGGGAGATCACGCTCAGAATGCTAACGAAAGTTTCAACTCGACGATTGACTTGACTTGACAATTGACCCCAAAAATTATAAAATGTTTTATAACTTTCTTACCAACTCGTCCAGTACGTCCAATACGATGAACATACTCCTCAATATCCTTTGGGAGATCAAAATTGATAACGTGTTTAACGTCTTTAATATCCAAACCGCGAGCTGCAACGCCGGTAGCAACTAAAATATTTCTAATGCCAGCTTTGAATTCGTTAAGGGCCGTTTCACGCTCCCGTTGTAAACGATCACCATGAATACTGGTCGTACTACAATCATTTTCGCTGAGAAATGTAGCCAAAAAGTCTGCCATTCGTTTGGTTTCGACGAATATCAAAGTCTTGTCGGTTCCTAAAATAAATAATAATATAGACCATTTATGTAATTGATTTATTATCATTATCCTTACCTTCTTCTCTTAAGATATCAAGAAGTTTTTGTCTCTTCTTAAACTTTTCTACTTCATAAAAGACTTGTTCTACGTCGGCACAAGCTCCCCCAACAATTCCCACAGCCACAAAAATGTAGTTATTAAGGAATTTTCCAGCCAACATTTGAATTTCATCCGGAAAAGTTGCAGAAAACATCAACATATTCTTATCGGCCTAATAACAAAGAATTTCCAATTAATCCATTATTTCTAAGTGTCAAAAAATACTAACCACGTCGCTCATTGTAGAATGAGACATCATTTCTTCAACGACCGGTAAAAATCCCATATCAAGCATTCTATCTGCTTCATCCAAAACAACGTATTTGCACGAATTGAATCTAACGACACCCTTTCCCACAAAATCGCTTAATCGTCCGGGCGTGGCTACTAAAATATTACAACCCTTGAGTAGAGCCGATTTCTGATAATTAACTGAAGTTCCTCCATAAACCACGCTAATTTTGAGGTACGACCCATATGCGAATTTTCGAGCTTGTTCAAAGATTTGAATGCTAAGTTCTCTTGTGGGAGAAATTATAACAGCGGATGGTTCAGCGGATGAACCGTCGGTAGCGGGTAATTCAGATTGCATAGCTAATAATCTATTTATTATAGGTAAAAGGAATGCTGCCTATACAAAAAAATAAGAAAAAATATGACTAAAAGAAGATGTATTAATTTGTTATAACTTACGGTTTTTCCTGAACCTGTTTGAGCACAGCCCATTAAATCACGATCGTTCATTATGATAGGAATGGCGTGTTTTTGAATCGGCGTCGGTTTATTGTAGCCGGATTTCTTAACATTTTCTAAGATTAATTGTCTGAGATTTGACTCTTCAAAAGATTTAATTGGAGCTGGAACGTTTTCTCCATTAGTCTAAAATTACAAAAATTAAAAATTAGGCTTTTTCCTTGCTAATATTAGAGATGAAAAAGGAGAATATTCTCAAAAACCAGAATATTCTCTATAATGTAAACCAGTTTATTAAAGTTTGTCGACAAACTTAAACAACAAGGCGACCTTTAGAAGACAAACGAAAAGAATAAAATATAATAATGTTAGTTTTTAAAGTGTTAAAATAGATAAGTTTTTGAGCGAAAACCCAACAACACGAAAAGACCTTTGAAAGAAAAGAAATGTTTTTAAAAGTATACAATTTTGACGTGGCATGCTCCTGAAGATTAATGTAAAAAACATTCGAAACCGGTAGAGCCAAAAATAAATAACCATCCAACTAGTAAATAATACACATAGTTTTATTATCTTTTAAAATAATACCTAAATACAAAGATGAAAAGAAACAATGAAAATAATAACATTTATTTATTGTCTAACCGGTTTCGGCTTACGCCATCATCAGAGACTTTAGGAATATATCATTAAATTTTAACAACACATGGGCCCTAATGAATAAAAATTTAGCAAGTGCTTTTTCTTGCAAAATCGAAGAATAAAGCTAAAAATAAAATTTTTTTTAGTGTCGTCAAAGAAATTAAATTTACAGTTTCCTGTAAATTACGGTACTATAACTAAAAATTATTCTATTAAAAATTTATATAAAATTTACTAACATAAATATTCTAACATGTTAAACTTTTCCTCATTTTTGTAATCCATCTTAAAAAAACAGGATTTTTAATTTGACACTTCAGAAAATTTTTGAATACAAACAAATGTTGCTATGTTTATTTGAATTAAAAAAAAAAAAATGTATGAGCGCCATCTATCGATAATTTATTAAGTCATTTAAAAATAATATTAAATCGTAATAAAAAATGTGAAATAATGCAATCTATTCCAACTTTTGTGTAAAACATATATAAATTAAACAGTTCAACAAATATATTTGTTTCAAATATCAGAAATATGTTTTTTTAATTTTTAGTTATAGAACCGTAATTTACAGGAAACTGTAAATTTAATTTCTTCCACGACACTAAAAGAAAAGTTTATTTTTAGCTTTATTCTAAAACAATAAGAAATAGACCTGTCAAACCCTATATTTTTGTAATCAGAAAAAAATAACGAATTTAATAAGCGAATAATCAGTGGTTGTTTTCATTTAAAAAAAACGAAAATTGTCATGATATCTCATAATCTAAAACGGAAAATTTTTTTTTGACTACGTCATGAAATTCTCTGTAAAAAAAGTGTCCATAGTTATAATACTCCACCTATAATAATAACCAAGATTTTACGATATTTTCAATTTTGGCCTCTAGGGGAAAAACAAAAAACGATAGCGCTTTGAGGTTTTCGGCATTAGCGGAAAACGAAATCATGACATGTAAGCTACTTTTTTTCTAACTCTTATAGTTTCCGAGTAAGCCTATTGGGACATCGAATTTGAACCCCCCTGTACATTTGTAAGTTTTGGCCTGCTAAATATACGGGGTGTGTCAAATGTCTGGAATATAGCCAATAACGTTTTAAAGAAAAATGTTTCAAATAAAAGTTTCTTTATTAATTGTGGCGCATTTTTTTGCGATATTTGCTTGTTTACATTGTTTTTAGTTTCGTTGCTATGGCAACCAACATTGTTATTTTAAATGGGATGCATATGTTTTTTTTGTATATTGATAGATGATAAATCCCTCTACGGGATGAACATACTAAATCATATGGTTGTACAAGAAAAAAATCGAGAAAAAATGCGTTCTCTGAAAATATTAAATCAGCAAATTACAATCAAAGTAGGCGCCGAAATAACGCCGTTGACAGCTTTCAATGTCAAAAATCAAAATCAAAAAACATCCCATTTAAAATAATAATATTGGTTGCCATAGCAACGAAACAAAAACAATACAAACAAGCAAATACCGACATAGACTAGTTTTAATCATAAAATGTCATAAAAAGGTGCCCTCTAATCAATTGTCGCTTGTTTTCCTATAAACACTATTATTTGAGTTGAGTAACTTTAGTGTCAAAGGTGCGATATGATAGGAGGAGCCAATAGGTAAAAAAGTTTTAAAAAGCAAAAAAAGATTTTAAACCCTTTGGTCGATCTTGGCAAAACATTTATATAAAAAGTCGATCTTGGTCAAAAATTAGTGAACACCACTGGTATACAGTCTAACAACAAATTTTCTTTCCCGAAAACCATTAACAGTTACGGTATATTGACGGTCGATTTAGATCGCTAAAGGAATCTTCTAAATCATCCTAAAATTTCATCAATTTCAGAAGTGTCCATCGGGGTCAAATTCACCCCTAAAGTCCCATCCGCGGTTTATAAGAATGATTTTTTTCTTGTTGCCAGGTCTCATGATATTACCTTTAATCTCATGATCACACGATTTGACATGTACTTCTCACGATTTTATTACAAAAATAATATAATAATTATTAGTGTTAATAAAATCAAAGTAAAATCATAGCATTTTCAACTCGAATTGTAGGTTACTGTAAATTTCTCTATTAGTTACATGTATTCGCCGCTAGATGGCGCTAAGAAAATACTTAAACTAATATTTTATTTCCTTTTAATTATATCACTTTTATATACAAACGTTATCTAAACTATTTTACTTGAATCCTATGTCTATATGTAACATATTATTAAAATTGAGCGATTTTTAAACAAATTTCAACACCTCACGATTTTTTTTATGACATGGCTAACGACATTCTATGTGTGCAACCTGGCAACCCTGGTTAAGGGTTACGGTGTTTTGAAAATTGATAAAAATACTTAGAACTGTGTTCTATTATGTGGTAGAATTTGGTTTAATTCGAAAGTGCCCATCAGGGTGAAAACATCCCTTCTTCGGGGGTGGGGGGTTGAAATTTTTTTTTTTACAAATGCGGGTTGTAAGTTGTTCTTCAGGGTAAGAGTAACCTGTGTGTGAAATTTGGTGACCCAAATCGTATTGGTTACGGAGTTATTAATGTTTTAAGTTTATGGCTGGGATTTATGGATAACTTCACACCAGTTTTAAATGAACACATAAATTAAAGTAACGCCATCTTTTGCCAGGCGGCCGTTTCTATTGACAGAGGTGTTCTAGGTTAACTTTCAAAATTTATTTATCAAAGCATTTCATAAACCTTTTATTTCTTACCTTTACTTCAATATTATCGTATTTCATAAAATTGATCCCAGATGTGTTTCCAGAATGGAACATTTCGTTTTCATCCTGTGTGGGATCTGGAGGAATATAAATTTCTCTCTTCTTTTCCTCCTGCTCATTTCCGCCGTCTCCAAACCCACCTCCTCTGTCTCCGCCACCTCGATCACCACCTCCTCCACGCGACCCCCCGCGAAATCCACGCCCGCCACCTCTTCCACCTCTATTAGGCCGGTCGTCTCCATCACGATCGTCTCCTCTATAACTATCACCATCTCCATTTAAGTTCCCATCAAAACCACCACGACCACCTCGGCCTCCACGTCCTCCTCTAAAATCCCCGCGACCTCCCCCTCTACCTCTACCCCGTGGTTTATCAAATCGTCCGGAGCCAGCACCATAATTACCATTGTTTGAATCTACAAAAAAAAAAAGATTTTTGGGACTATATGCTAATAAATGTATTTTAAAATAATTAAATTAAGACTAGGTTATATTTATATTCACCAAATGTAGGGGTATCATCCCAATTGCCACCGGGAGGATCGTTGTCAACATTGCTGGAGAATCCTCGACCTCTGGAAAAGGCTTTTCCGGAATCAAAGTTCTAACACAAAAAAAATTATCAGTGTAAAGATAAAACTGTTTGAATAGGATAAAAAGCAAATATTATTTATCAATTCACTTACATTTATAACGACCGGAGTCGGATCATCCCAATCTTCATCCATTTCGTTGATGGATTCTTCGCAAAAATTAACGGAAAAACGTGGGACGAGAAACGCGCGAAAACCGACTAATACCTAACCTTAAAATGAATGGAAACGACGATTGATACCGACTAGTTTTTACTGGACTCGCTTTAACAGTGAGTTTAATCCAAATTCTTTGTAACAAAGGAATTAAACCGCGTGATAAAGCGATGTCTTTTACTTTCTGAGTGGTGAGGCCACAACCACAAAGCACGGACGCCTAAAAAACCAGTAAACTCATATAACCTGATATAACCATACAAAAAATGTCAGAGATACAAACGTTAAGACAAGTGAGATGCGCAAATTTATGCGCATATTTTAAAATATAAAAAAAAAATTTGTTGGTTTCTTATAAATTAATATCTTATATTCGCATTTATCTAATTATTTATAAAAAAATTAATTATTTTTTTATTTTAGCTCATAATTTTAATAAACTAACTTCAAGGGAGTGGTTATTCCATTTGACACTTTATAGATGGCGCTGAAAATTGTTATTTTAATAAATTATTAAGTTTAAACTCAAAATTTGCTTTTACCTTTGTTTATACATTATTAAAGTTGCTGAACCGAGTAAGTATGCACATATAGCGGTGTGGTGTACCAAGGTTTACCACGATTTATACATAAGCGGAGTACAAGTATATGCTGCCATCTATTGGCCAAAACCACCACAACTTTATGTAGCGGCAAAAAATAATTAATAATTAATTTTATTATCAGCAAAGATCGATTTCTATCCAAAATACATAGATGAAATAATAAATTGCTAGATTCTTTTTTGATCATTAATTTATCTCAAATTAAAAGATGAGTATTTAAATTTTTATTTGTTTTATATATTTATATATTATATATTTATTTTATTGTATTGGGATTGTTACAATGAGGTTGCTAATGGCAAACCTGATATAAATAAAGTTGTATTTAATGAAAAAAGTCGTGTTGGGGTTAAACTTGATTATTATCTGCAGTGTCCAACACCTAAAAGAGATACTAATTCCTATGAATGATATCTATATACCGGATAGTTGCCGGATATCCGTTACACCACTACTCAGAATCAAAAATAAATAAAGTATGGGGCAGGTGTACATACAACAAAGACTGTGACGTCACTATTGAACGTCAGAACTTTATTATTTTTTGTATCGACGATTATTATTATTCTTTATTCTTGTTAATACAGTATTTTTAACTATTAACAAAATAAATCTATCTATTCTGCAATATTGCCAACTTAGAGTTTTACTTTTGAGTACTTTGTTTTATTTCAGAAGATATTTGTATTAATGTCCATACCAGTAGATGCAACAAGTAATTTCTATGTTTTTCGCACATTTTTTCTACTGTGGCAATTGTTTTATAACTTTTTTTTCAATTTTGTTAATCATTACTTTGTTCATATCTTTCTTTGATATACAGGTGTCTCACGTAACGGTTCGTTAGAAGTTTTTCAGGTTCCAGTATTCGTAGAGATTTGAAATTTTGGTAGCATGGATTGTTCATTCGGAACTTTCGATCTAAAATATTTTCAAGATGGCTGCCACTTCCGGTCTACCGGAAGTAGACCATAACTTCGTTATTTACAAATTAATTAAGAAGAGAGAAATTAATTACCAAAAAATAGCCATTACCATGGCTATTTTAGTTACCTTTGCTAAAAGAATAGTTGGTTTTTTTAGAGCTACAGGACTAATTATTTATAAATAATTAATAATTATTTTATTTTAGCTTTTATTTTAATTCACTTGTCACTTTATAGATGGCGCTAAAAATTGCTATTTTAAAAAATATTTAGGTTGTGTAAAACCAAAATTTTCTTCTACTTAATTTCTTATACTCGTGTTATTTAATTATGTATAAAAAATTAATAACTTTTTTATTTTAGGTTACAATTTTAATAAAATAACTTCAAGGAAAATAGTAATTTCATTTGACACTTTATAGATGGCGCTAAAAATTGTTAGTTACTAAATTATTGAGGTTATGTATAACCAAATTTTCCTTTTACAGGCTTTTACTTTGATTTATATTAAAATGGTAAGGGATTACTTAAATTTCTTGAATCTTAAGTAACCAAATACTTATTTATTCGCTATTTTTCATTATAAAAGAAAAAAATAAAATTAATGAATCATCTCATTTTAGTTCTAATTTATACACAATTGTACACAATATGTTTACTTCCGTACTTAATTTGTCACATTGGGATGCTAAAAAAGCCGTCTATATAACAGAGGATCATTTAAAAGACTTACAAGATCATCATCTTGATTGCATTAGAAGTTTATATGAAAATTATAACAAAAAGGTACGATTCATTCACCTATACACATTTTTAATGCTATTTTTTTTTAGATTAAAGGTAAATTAGTAACTTATCCACAAGGGACAAATATTGCTATAATAATACGAGCTTTACTAAGTGCTATAATCAAGGATTTAAAATTTCCTGTCCTAATAATATGTGATTCTAAATCAATATGCTTGTGGCATTATGAAATGAGTAAAATTGCAAATGTGATTGTTGTTAATTATGAAAAAAGTACAATTAATTCATCACATATTATAATAACAACATTAGAAAAATTAAAAGAAACTCCATTAGATGTGGATTTTTCAATTATTATAGGGGAAGAAATTGAAACTTTGATTAATAAGGTGGTTTTTAAAAGGATTAGTGATGCTCCTTATAAAATAGGTTTTAGTGAAAAAGAATTTGTTGATGATGATGAACTAAAAGTACTTTGGAATATTATTAAATGGGTTGACTCAAATTTAGTTGGAAAATTAAATGAATTCATAGAGTGAGTATTTTAATAAAAAGACATTTATTTAATAACTATTAAAATCTTATTTAAAGAATACATAAGGACCATATGAACAACTTAAGAGATCCATATGATCATATATGGCATAGAATTGATTGGGATTTATCAAATTACCAATTAGAACTTGAAAATACTGTGAGGTTTTTGGTTTTTTAATAGATAAATAATTAAATAGGTTGTTTTAGGAGTATAAAGCTTTATTAGAAGAATGGAGTGATAGAAACAATTTTATTTCAAAAGTGATAACACAAGGTGGTACTAAAAGTACTAAACGATTCTTGAGAGATAATAAAATAAGTCCTCAAACTAAAAAAAGTAAAAGTACAACAAATGATTTTGATAAAACTAATTCAACAATTCATTTAGTATCATTACAGAGAAATAATTTTGTTGCAAAAATGACTAGTAGTGAGAAATTGACTGAAAATAATGATAGAGACAAACAACTTGGAGAAAAGAAAAGAATTGAATTGAGAAATAATTTAAAACCCACCAAGTTATTCCAAAATATGAATGATTTTATTGGAAATACTACCTGTGGTAATAAAAGATCGATTCAAAATAAAAGTAGACAATTATTTAAAAAAAGTAAAAGTACCATGAATGAAACTGAATGTATTAAGAATCCATTTAAAAAGAATTCTCAAAAAGCTAAATCTACAAATGATTTGGATTCATTACAAACGATTTTTGAAAAAGATTCGTGGATTGAAGATATTATGAAAGATGTAGATGTTTCTGAAATTTCTTCTGAAACCGATACCAAAGAAACCACTAAAATTTTTAGCTGTATAGAAGATATGCCTTTTTCTTTATCGACGGAATCAAAATTATTTAAGGAGTTCAATGAAGATTTTAAAGTTGTAGACAATATTGATACAAATAATGAAGTTGAGGATTTTTCTGGTCTTGTTTCTTCGATAATAACCCAAGAAGACGAGGGAATATACCCTATTTTAGATGCAATTATCAATGGGGGCCCTTTAGAAAATGCTGTGGAAAAGTATAAAATTTTCCAAGAAAATAGCAGATCTCAAACGAGTAGGGAAAGGACCCCTTCGCCTATATCTACGGTAACAGATCAAGAAGGGGGGCAATACCCCATTTTAGATGCTATAATTAATGGATCGCCTTTAAAAAAAGCTATGGAAGAGTATAAAAGTAATGTTTTGGGGAGACGTCAATTTAGAGATGATATTTTTCCTTTTTCATTTAAGACTGATTTACAAACAAAGTTTTAAATTTTGATTATTTTTAATATATTTTTTTATTTATACTCAATTTATGTAATTTAAGTTATAAACTAATAATCTTTATTGAGGGTGCAAATACAAAGGATTTAACAATTAAATATGTAATGATTTAAACAAAAAAGAAGTAATGTAGAAAATTATAATAAAAGATGTAAAAAGAAAAAATAATGTAGTTTAGTGCGCTCAATATGGACCAGTTGGGCTGACGCCCTTCTTCCAACAGCTCACTATACAGGCTGTCTCAGCGAGATCTAATGTCTAATGAACTAGACGTTTATGGGGTTCTGGCCAAAATAAAAATACCCCCGCGGCAATAACTCATGCTATAATAAAACGTTTTAGTCGCTTTTATTTTAATTCCTTAAAAAAAAAAGAATGTTGGTGAAATTCAAAAACAAAAATCATATCCAATTATTTATTTATACTTGAACGGATCGAAAATAAAAACAATTTTAATGTGTACAGGACATACATGTATAATAACAATAAAAATTAAATGGATGAAACTTAAGACAAAATCCTGCCTTTTTTTCGGTTCTTCTAATTATTTCTTACCCTATTATTTGCCAACGTTTGCACTCATTCGAGAACTTCTATTTAACCACTGACTAAAAAAGTTTGAAAACCTCGAATAAGTGCAACTGGAAATTGCTTTTATTTTTTTCTTTCTTTTATTTATGAACCCTTACTGCATTAATTTAACCGCTGAACGTCGACAAGAAATCTTGTACAATCTTCTTAAGTTGCGCATCAGCATCATCTGTAATCTTTCCTTCTTTTGCAATACTGCCCAACAACGATTGATGGTTAGATCTTAAAAAAAAATTTTTTTTTAATAATTGGGTTCTTAAAATATTTACAAATTTAAATTACTTAATATGCGCAGAGAATTCCTTTTCAAAGACGGTAATTTTCGCTGGATCGATTTTATCCAAATGTCCCCTTACACCACAATAGATGATAGCTACTTGTTCTTCAATTGCCATTGGCACATATTGTCCTTGCTTCAACAATTCGGTAAGACGAACACCTCTATTCAACAATTGTTGAGTGGCAGCGTCCAAATCGGAACCGAATTGAGCGAAAGCAGCTACTTCACGATATTGAGCCAATTCCAGTTTCATCGAACCGGCTACTTGTTTCATGGCCTTGGTCTGAGCAGCAGAACCGACACGCGATACAGACAAACCTACGTTGATGGCGGGCCTAATACCTTTGTAGAACAATTCAGTTTCTAAGAAAATTTGTCCATCTGTGATCGAAATTACGTTGGTTGGAATGTAAGCTGATACGTCACCAGCTTGAGTTTCAATTACTGGGAGAGCAGTAAGCGAACCACCTCCGTGCGCATCAGACATTTTAGCCGCACGTTCTAATAAACGGGAGTGAAGGTAGAATACATCACCAGGGTAAGCCTCACGACCTTAATAAAAATAGTAAATTAAAGTAAATATAGGACCAAATTTGATTTTAATTACCTGGTGGACGTCTCAACAATAGAGACATTTGACGGTAAGCAACGGCTTGTTTGGACAAATCGTCGTAAATGATTAAAGCATGTTTGCCGTTATCTCTGAAGAATTCACCCATGGCACAGCCAGAGTAAGGGGCGAGGTATTGCAATGGAGCGGCATCGGAAGCGGTGGCAGATACAATGATGGTGTAACCAATAGCACCACTGTCTGTGAGACGCTTCAAAATTTGAGCGACAGTGGATCTCTTTTGACCAATAGCAACGTAAATACAATACAATTTTTTCTTTTCATCACTACCAGCGTTGAATCGTTGTTGGTTGATAATCGTATCGATAGCGAGGGCAGTTTTTCTGTTTTAATTTAAAAAATTTTTTATTAATCCAAAAAAGCGATGAAGAATTAAAATAATAATGGAAGAATGCAAGAATCATCATGTGGCTTAAAATCGACGATTTGACGTCACAAGCAATGTTAACTATGCATTTTCCTATTAAACCTACAAATTGTTTATTTTATAGCCACGCACAAAATCAATCTGATAAGCTTAAAAGTAAAGTTATTTTCTAATGAAAATAACTATGTGAGATTACAACATATGTTTACGGATGAAACACCCTTGCTTTTCTTAGGATTTCGATGCATAATGACTGACTACCTTCGTTAGATATACTGTGTGTCAATAGACTGTGTTAATACTAGAACTAACACTAGATCGAAAACTAGAAACATTCGGATTTAGCCCCACGTCTCTCAAGACGGCTAAACCCGAATGATTCTAGTTCTAGGTCTTGTTCTATCTTAGTTCTAATGATAGTGATATGATACATTTTATAAAAATTAAGAATATGTCAAAATGACATTGACATTTCAAACCGGAAGTTGACCATAACTTCATTAATATTGGAGATAAATATGTCAAGTTTGAACTCATTTTAAATGATTTTTTATGAAGTTTAAAAATATGTCAAAATTAAAAGTTGAAAGTTCGAAATTTTTTGTTTTTTGAGATAAATGCGTCAAGTTTGAACTCACTTTAAAGGTTATTTTATGAAGATTACGAATATAATAATAAAATTAAAGTTGACATTGACAAGTCAAAGTTTCTTTCACGACTAAACCCGAATGTTTCTAGTTTTAGTTCAATAAAAATATACTACTACAAGATAGTAATATTTTATGCTAAGTAGCGACTAGAAACATTCGGATTTAGTCCCACAACTAAGCAACTAGTGTCAATGTATTGTCCCGTATCGCCACTGCGTATCCTAATTAAATGTGCAACGGGTATGCGATACGAACCAAGAGAGTACGACGTTTGTGGATGCATCAAGTTTACAAGCCGACTAGAATTTTCAATCTGTAAGCGTATTGTACAAAAATTTTACTAGGATGCACCGGATATCACAGTTCTGAAGGCAATTCCTGCTCAAGAAAGGCTGGCTCTATTCTCAATTCTTATTCCAGTCTTCAATACTTATTTAAAATATCAAAGCAAGCTGTTAGATTTTCATTTTCTCCTTCCTGAGGGCTGCTAAATGATAGACCTACGCTAAATGATTTTCTTTTTGCATTCCTCAACGGTCCTATCGCAATTTCCTCTCATGCAACTTGTTTTCAAAATGTATTGAAATGGAAGGAAACTAAGGCAATCTGTGCAACCATTCTCAACATGATTTCTAAATGAATTGTGTGTACTGCCAAATGATAAAATATTAAATATACTGTCGAATCCGCAAGTATTTTGAACAATATATTTTCTATTTTTTATTGAAACAGATGTTAATGAAACTTACTTATGAACTTATGAAAGAATTTCTGACTGAAATTTCCAGAAACTTTAATTTTCAAAGAGTAGTGTCCTTTATAGAGTTGTTCTAGTGAAAATAATAGCTGTTCCAGATTGCTTTAGGTATACCTAATAAGTATATATTTGTAATATGGAATTGAAAATAGAGAAACTATGGTCACAGCAATTAACTAGACATTTTGGCAGCGATTTTTTGGAACAATGTAGAACAACGCTAGAACAATCTTGAACAACAATGAAAAATTTAAAAATCAAAAAATGGGGGGCTAACTTCCCGCACTCCACAACGTCGACCACCTCTTGATAAATTTATCTGATAGATAAATTGGCGCACATAGGGCCGGTTTATCAATATCGAGTTAAATCTGTTAGATACGCAACTCATGGATAAAGTTGCCTAACAAATAACTTCAGTGAAGCGTTTATCCAGTAACTTTCTACCCGACAGGCAGCAACCTACAAGATAGAAAATAGATGGTACCCCTGAGTGTTAACATTAGAAACGGAAATGAAACGTGATTGCTCAAATTTGAATAATTGACTTTAGTTTGTGAAGTTGATATAAACAGCTGATCGTGTTTTGGAGGTTATCATTCGTTGTTTTCGAAAACCTCTTTTATAATGGAATTCCAACTTTTAAATTATAAACGACGACCATATATTATAAAAGAAAGAGAAAACGACTTTGAGGAGTTGGACGACCACGATTTTTTTGTTAGATTTCGGTTAAAAAAGGACAGTTTTGTCAGTCTTGGTTAAAATTGAGACGAGATTATATATTACAGACATTTTTATATTTATTTGCCAAATCTATCAGCAAGTTCTTTTCTACTAAAATTCGATGATCTTTTTACTTTCTCTCGTTTATCCATCACTACAATTAATTATGAGCTTAATTTATTTTTGACGTTATATTTTAATTTTGTTGTCATTTCCTTTCACCAAGCAATCAAACTTGCGCGCAAATTTTTTTAATTTTCCAACAATATCTAATAGGTAAACCCTCAACCAGTACTTCAATCTGGTAGGTATCCAAATGTCATATTTACCTATAAGACCCTAAACTACGGGTGGATAAACGATTCGTCGACGTTATCTATCAGCTACAATTTTAATTGACAGATAAATCGTCTTAACTAGATATTAATAAACCGGCTCTTAGTCAATGAGAGCGCTTAAAAAGCGTGGTAATTATCCCTTAGATAGTTTATCAGGAGGATGGTACAACCGGCCCTAAAAGCGATAAAATGTCGCTTAGCCAAGTGATGTATAACGCGGTTCAAATAATCAATGTTCTGTTATATTTTCTAATAAATAATATTAATTAAAATAAAATCTTTGGGATTTTCCTCAATTAAATAAAAATAATTAATAAATAAAGTAATCTATATCTAAATAATGTCTGCTAGAGCTACAAACAAATATCTTCTTTTAGCAGGGCGTCGCAAAAAAGATAACCTGTAAAGGGAGTTGCACTATAAAAAAGATTATAACCCCTGTTATAGAGGTAAACAACGACGTCTTAGTCGTTATGCGTCGAAAACCTAAAAAATAACCGTATTTCATCCGAAAATATGCGTTTTAACCAAATGTGCTGCGAAAATACATGGTTAGCATGGTCAATGACGTCATGTCAAAACTTTAAAATGATTTTTCAGTAGGTTTTACACTTTTCAGCACTTTTTTTTAAATTTGTAACGGCTTTATTGAGTGTGATTGTTGAAATCACATTAATTTAAGTGTAAATTATTAAATGTTTTAAAAAATTATTTTATATTGGCATTGACAGCTGTCATTTTCTAAAAAGTGAGGTTAGAATCTTTTTAAGTTAAAAAAATGTATCTTTTGATTAAAAAGTGGGAAAAAAACATAATATGTACCCAGTTTGACGATCACCAATGATCAATTCACGTTGTCCACGACCAATTGGTACCAAAGAATCTACAGCTTTGATTCCAGTTTGCATAGGTTCTCTTACAGAAATACGCGGAATGATACCAGGGGCTTTGATACCAACACGGAAGCGGGTTTTGGTGTTAATCGGTCCTTTACCATCAATTGGGTTACCTATTTTTATCCAAACAAATTTATAACAAACTCTATTAAATTATTTTGTTTGATTTACCCAAAGCATCTACTACACGTCCCAACAGTTGTTCACCAACCGGTACATCTACGATGGCTCCGGTACGTTTGACGATATCACCTTCCTTAATCAATTTGTCATTACCAAATACGACAACACCAACGTTATCGACTTCCAAATTCAAGGCCATGCCTTTAAGACCAGATGAGAATTCTACCATCTCATCAGCTTGGATGTTTTTCAAACCATAAACGCGAGCAATACCGTCACCAATGCTAAGTACGCGGCCGGTTTCTTCCAAATCAGCTTTCGGTGCTGAGCCGAGAATGCGCTCTTCGAGGATCGAACTGATTTCCGCTCCATTTTGGGCACCGGAAACATGGATCTTGCGGGCAGCTACTGATACTGCTGGGAAAGCTACACCAACGGCCTAAAAAAATAAGGTATAAATAAATTTGATTCTTTTTATATTGACTTTGTCAGCTGTCACATTCTATAAAGTGAGGTTAGAATCTTTTTAGGTTAGAAAAATGTTAATCACTCTTAATTTATAGTATTTATTAATTAGTTTGTGATTGCTTTGTGAATACTTTTGGGAATTTAATAGAATTAAATTAAAATATTTTGTGTTACATTAATGTATTGAATTACAATAATATTAAATTATGTAAAAATCAATTAATTAAGATAGAAACCTTTCAAATCAAAATCCGAATCCAAAGTGCATTAAGAATAGTGTTAAAAATTGTAAAATCGAGTAATAACCTAAAATCAGATCCAATCCCATTGCTTATGTGATGTTACATAACAAGTCACATCAATACATATAAACTTTATAATAAAACCATGAAAAAAATCGTTAGAAATCAAATTATGACTAAAATCAATAATTTTCTATGGATTTTAATTTGTTTATATTAACAATAATCGAGTTTCAATTGTTTAAAAAACAGGAGAAAATGATTATGTCACCAATAAGAATCAAAGGTGCCGGAGAGTTTGGGATGAAAAATGGACACTTTTAAAGTGCCATATCGTTAATAATCTAAATAAAATCGTTGTACTTACTTGGGAAACGGTGTTAGGTAAACGCCTGGCCACTGAGGCGGCGAGACGAGCTGATAGAAGCGACATTTTCAACGTTTAACCCAGCAGTTAAAATGGAGTGTGCCGACAGGAACTGGTAGTGATAATTCTTATTTGCCATGCGCAGACTCGTGTACCAAAAAGGTCAATTCAAGTTATTAAGAAAATATTGAATTATGTAATATTTAATATTATATTTAATATATAATATTGCTTTTAAAATATTAATAAAGTAGTTAAAGTTTATCTTAAAAATTAATAAGGTTGCTGTGAAACAAATGATTTTCTTAGAGGGATTTCGCGGGAATTTCAAATTAATTCATTTACAAGTTAGTTTTGAAATAATTCGTTTTAAATCAATAATTCCCAAAGAACCACCATGATTGGTTTGCCTTTAAAAGTATTTTTATTCCTAATCCTTTATTACTGATGTACGGTGTATCAAAGCGTTTCTCAGATGATCAAAGAAAATACCAACATTATGATTATTAAAAGAGGTTATTAAAGATATCGTCCCTAATACCGTTCAACATCATCCCTGACTTACTTAGAAAGGGTTTCAAATCTCATTTTTGTAATGAGCTTCTCAACTCTATTCTTCTTCTTTTTTTCTCGTTTTCGACTCTCTTCTTGACTGGACTGGACTAGATTACGAACTGACTCCTTGAAAACTACTGATTCCATCAAACTACTTCTCTGAACTCCACTGGAAAAGTTTTGACCTCCTTCTGCCGAACTCTTCAATGGACTCCACTCTTCGAACTCCAACTCAAAATTCACTGACTCTCTGACTGCTTTGGAACTCCTTGCCGGACTTTCTAACTGCTCTGGTAAAATTTGTGAGTTCCTTCCACCGAACTCTTCACTGGACTCCACTCTTGGAACTCCAACTCTTAACCCAACTCTAACTCTAAGCTCACTGCTAACTGTGAACTCTCATCTTCTTCCCTCTAATTTCTCCACTCAACTCTGTAGCGAACCGCAGGTTCGATTAAAATTTATTAATTGATTTTTGTCTTTAATTTTCAAATTTTTGTCTTTAATTTTCAAATTTTTGCTCTATTATTTTGAACGGAACATTTTCGATTGTCCGAATTGTTAGGCCAATGGAAACAATTATTTACATTAAAAGCGCTCGGAATAAAAGGGTTTAAAAATCTCAGACGGGAAGAAGAACAAGAGTTTTTGTTGGAGCAGTTCCTTGAAGTCAGTTGGTTATAGCCAGTCAGTCTTGGAGTCCGAGACAGAATTCAGAGAAAAGTATTGAGTTATGGAGTTTTGGTGAGAAGAACTGGAGAGTCAGTCCTGAATCAATCTATCAGTTCTAGTTGATGAACGAAACAAAAAAGAGTTCAAGTTCGAGAAGAGGATCAAGACGATCATGAATTGGAGTAGAAGTTCCTAGCATGGATTCCAGTGGAAAGGTTTAGACAAGAAGAGCCGAAACCAGAAAGGGAGAAAGTAAGGTCGTTGGTCGAGAGAAGCCCATTGCAACGATGAGATTAGTAACCCTTTGTTTATTTTGTAATTTGTCCTGATAGTATTAATAATTAAAGTAAAGATTAAAAAAAAAGATTAAATTTTCTTTTATTTCCAAATATTTGACCAAGTTAATAATTGCACACCCACACGTTAAAGTAAGAGCCGCTTCTTACAACTCCACTCTAGGAACTGAACTAATAACTCCTTCACCGAACTAACTAACTACTCTGGAACTCTCTGATTGCTTTTAAAGTCCTTGTCGGACTCTGACTGCTCTGAAAAAGCTCTTGAGCTCCTTCAACCGAAGTCTTCATTAAACTTCACTCTTGGAACTCTAACTATTGATCGAATTCCAATTCTAAGCTCACTGATAACTCCGAACTCATCTTCTTCCGTCGAACTTCTCAATTCAACTCCACTCTAGGAACTGAACTAGCTCCTCCACCAAACTAACTGACTGCACTGGGACACTGGCGAGAGTCCTCCACTGAACTTCAATCTGTTGACTGCTCTGCAAATCTCTGCTGGAATCCGTTACGAACTACTTGATCTGAGATTTTAAATCCTTCGCTTCGAAAGCAAAAAAAAATCTCAGAAAAAAAATCAATCAATAAAATTTACTAAATAATTTAAATTTATTTAAATAATAATTTTTACCTTAATTCTTGACATGAAACAATATCAATATTATAGACTGTTTTTAGTCTTTGATTTTCAATTTTTGTTCAGTTATTTTGAAAAATGTTCTCTATATGATTTCTCCACTACGTTAGTTTAGTGCGGAACGTTTTCGGCGGTTCGAGTTATTATATTATTATTAAGGGCACTCGAAACAAAAGGATTTAAAACCTCAGACGGGAAGAAGAACGAGAGTCAGTTAATTAGTCATTAAGGGAGTTCAGAGAGTTGACTGGAGTAGAATCAGTCTTGGAGCCCAAGACGGAGTTCAAAGTTTCAGTGATGGGAGAAACTTCCAGACTGAGAAGTTGAGTGGAGTTAGAGACTTGGAGTTGAGATGAGTTTTGAAGCGGTCAGTCCTGGATCAATTGGGAGAGTCAGTCTAGTAGTCAAACTAGTCCTAGAAGAGAGTGAGATTGATCTTGGGTTGGAGTTCGGGAACCAGAGTGGATTTCACTGGAAAGGTACAGCTAAGAGGAATAGAGACTAGGAAAAAAAGACTATTTTTTTATCAAAGTCAGTAATTGCGTGATAAATTTCAATTTGTCGCATACGCATTGCATATCCACGCGTCAAAGTAAGAGCCGCTCGTTACGACATCTCTCAAGGCTACTCTTAACATTCTCTCTAACATCGTCTTTAATATGTTTAAGTATAATCACAAAGATTATCTCTCGACATCATATTTGATATCATCCTAAAAGATTCCTATCTTCAATATACGACATTTTTCAACATCATACCAGATATCTTTCAACATAATCCCTAATATGTTTTAATATTGTCTTGGTCCCTATATCTCCTCATCATCTATCAATATTATTCTTAGAGAGTCTACTGTTATTCTAACATCATTTGTGGCCAAAAACGTCAGAGACAAGACAAAGAATTCAGCCTTCAGACGCATTGAATATTTTTTGAAAGACCTGAAGATGTTTCCATACAAAGTATAAAGCATTCACCAATTGCTGCCAACTGACAAAATCATAATGAGTGACGAAGTCCATTTTCATTTAATAAATATTATGTAATAATGTTATAAGGTTATGTAAATAAATAAAATTTTGATTACTTTGGTAAATCCATTAAATACACGAAGAGTATTAAATAATTGTTAAATATTAATATGATTATTAAATAAAAGTATTAAACAAAATTCAAATAATGCAAAAATTAGTTGATGGCTCTGAATTTAAATTAAAATTTAATGAGGTTCTGATAGGAAAAAGTTGCAAGATTTGTATTACAACCTTTACATTGTCTTGGATTATAATGCTGTATAATGTAAAGCATTATTATGATGTAATATTGCAGCATCCAAACAAGCCCAACAAGCTCAGATACAGCATTAATGGATTTAAATGATTATAAATTATTAAGAAAGCTCAAGCAGTCATCTCACTAGCTGGGGTATGGAAATACATTAATAACTGTATATCGATAACTGTAATTCAATCTATGTTTTAAACATGCATGATAAGAGAGATTTCAGTCAATAATTATTATTCTTATAAGAACCATTTTTGGGAATCACCTTTTTAACAAGATAGCTTCAGGTGTATAATATACAAACAATTATTAACCATATTATAGAGAAACACAAAATGATTATTTTATTAACTTATATAAAAATTAAATCCCATAAGAGCATATAATCAAGTTTAAGATTTTTGTTTTTCTGCTTTCTTGGCAGCTTCCACAGCAGCTTCAGCTTGCTCATGTTCGCTAATTAACTGCTCTACTTCCTTACTGGTGAGAATATGAATGACAGTTTTATTATCATCTCTTTTCAAAGTGGCCATTTCAATCTTTTCAGAAGTTAATTTGGTCATATCGAGAGTTTTGCTTAAAACTTTAATAGCCAAGGATTTAGCATCTTTTAAGGTCATGTCGCCCTCTTTATATTCTTGTTTTAAACTAGACACAGCAGCCTGCAACAAACATTTAAATATGTTTAAAAAGAAAATGCAATAAAACAACAACTTACTGAACTATTATTACCAATACAAGTGGCTTTCCATCCACTGTAATTTCCACTTGGATCGGATTGGTACAATTGATATCCGTAATGTTTATCCCATCCCATATACAAAATTGAAACACCAAAAGGTCGTTTACCACCGTATTGTGTATAAGCTTGTTTAACATCGCACAACCAAGAAACTAATTGTTCGCAAGGGATTGATTCTCCATATTGGAACAAATATCTTTGCCCAATTAAACGAAGTTCGTTGGTTAATACATTTGCATCGGATGTAATTCCAGCTACGCTACATACCATATCTCTAAAATGAAGTGTTAAATCAAAAGAATCAGGATGAAATTCAAAACATACTCATTGAGTTTATAAATTTTTTCAGATGAAAAGACTTCATCAAGGAGTTTATTGGTGTTACGACGCTCCGCTGCTAATAAGATACCATCATTTGCTAAAATACCCAAACAAGTACCTGCATGACTAATAGCTTCCATAGCATATTCAACCTGATAGAGTCTCCCTATAACAATTAAACAAAAATGAGATTTAGATTATCATTAAGAATGTTATATGTACCTTCAGGTGAAAAAATTGTAGTCCTGGTATCATATCTACGAGCCTAAAAATTATCATTATTAAACGCTTACACATCACAACATAACCTACAAAACTTAATTTATAATCTAATTGAGTTTATAAATACGATTTAAATGTATATAAAGCGCAATAATAAAAGGAACATTTGTACCTACCATTTTTTTTAATTATACGCTTATTAAAAGTTGTAAATGTACCAAAAAGTGTTAAATGATAATGATTCGACAAAAGCGGTATTCAATTTTTGACAGTTGTGATTGCACGAATTTCATTTGATTAAATTGGCAACTTGTAATAACAAAAATTCCCTAGATAAATAAATAAATTTGATTAAAGAAACTTTAAATCTCTTTATACTTTATTAGTTTATGTGTATAAACTATTATTATTATACTTTATTTATAGATTAGGAGGAGAATTTTAAATGATATTAATTATTATTACTTAGATTTGAATTAATTGATAAGATTAATATCTTAAAGAATTAATAAACTTTATGAAAAACTTTAAAATAAGTTGTTGTATTAACTTTTTATCTATTATGGTTAGATTATAACATATTTTGTAGTTTAAATTAAAATAGAATTGTAAGAAAGGATGCCTAAATGATCCAATTATGTAGAGAAATCTTGTAAAAAATATGCATCGAGTAAGCAAATAAGAATAAATATGCAGTACAAAACTCTTCATCTACCGTATGCCCTTTGGACATTGAACGTTTACGGTTCCATTTATTTATTGTGTGGATCGGTTTGATCGTTTAATAGTATTCGGTGGTTTGAGCGAGCATTAAGAGTTACTATGACCTCTGCAGTTAAAGGTAGGTAAAAATTGTTAAACAATTAAATCAAACCTTTTTACATTATAACGCTATTTGATTAATTATTGTAACGCTCATAACTAATAAAATGTTGTTTAGTAGTTTTCTTTAATTTACTGCAAGGTAAGTTATAAATAGAACCATTCGTTTAGAATTTTAAATTATGTTTACCAGTTTTTAAATGGATTGATATAATCGAACGTGGTTTCGTAAAAATCATGCCCTGGCGATAAACTATATTTTTGTAGCTGTATCTTATAACTTGTTGCGAAATAGTTTACAAAATAATGGTATTTTTTGTTTATTATAATTCTTTTAATGTAATATAGAAGTTAGCCACCAAGATTTATTTTTTTTTGTTTAAAATTATGTCGAAAGTCTGAATTTATAACAAATTACGTAAAGATTTAGTTTAAAAACGATAACACGTTATTATCAATTTAATCATAACTAAAAAGATCTCTTCACATTTCCTTATTTTGTTAATCTCAATTAAATCTTTTTGCGAGTGTTCTTAAAATTCTTCACATAATCTTTTTCGGAATTTCTTCTCTTTCCCTCTTTATTTTTATTACAATAAACTTTACATTTTTGTTCGAAACTTTCACCAAAGCTATAATAATAAAAGCATTCGGTTATTACTGTTTTTGTTATAATAATCTTTGAATCAGAATTGTCCATTTTGGTTTTAATACTTGCTTGTATATTAGTAACTTGTTGCTTCGTGATACCGTAGATTTTCTGCCAATAAGTCAATATAGGTGTCTAAATTTGATATCAAGTTCCTCACATTTCTTTTTGACTTGACCTTTCCATTTGAGTTTGGAATCCAGCATTGCCATTTATGTGTATTGGGACATAATTTACTTTCTTAAAAGTAAAGTAATTTTATTAGTCATCGTTTGGTCCAGTTTTCTATTGAATTTAAGGCCAATAGAAACTTATTTGCTGCAATTACTTCATTTTCTGCAATAGCTAAGATCGCTGTCTCATCTGCGAATGTTCTTGTTAAAGTTTCTGGTATCTGAGGAAGGTCAAATGTGTAGAGTAAGTACACTGTTGGCCCAGGCACACTTCCTTGAGGAACGCCGGCTTGTGTTTCATGTAGTGGTGTATAAGCGCTTTCGTATTTTACTCTAAAATATCGATCAGAAAGATACGATTTTAATAGTTGACTTAAAGAATCTAACCAGACTTTGTTGAAAGCTTGTGCAACATCCAAAAATACGGCGAGGCAGACTTTATTTTCTTCCATTACTATTTCGATGGTATTCGTTATTTTACGGCCTTTTTGTTCTATGACAGGTTTTAGGCTTTTTAATAGTAATTTTTCAAGTGGTTTTGATAGTAAGGGTAATAATGAGATCAACTCTAAAAAAAGGATACTTTAATTAATAATTGGCGATATATCCACAAGAATCCTTCAAGGAATGAATTCTATAGCGAATTTTGAAAGTTATCGATGAAAATTACAACATCGAACATTTTATCAAAACTTCAAATATTGTTTTCTCAAAAACTAAAAGTTATTTTTTAAAACCTGTTGGTTCATTCGAAAGAGGACACTTTTATTAACACTTTGGGAAATTTTCATACTCATATTCCACGAAATCGATTTTATACGAATTATTAAAATTTAATCGGCGAAAATTGCAAAATTCGAAAAAAATGTCGATTATTTCAAAAAATTTTTTCTCAAGAACTAAAAGTGATTTTTCAAAACGGCTTTTTGCATTAAAAAGAGGANCTGTTAAAGTTTCTGGTATCTGAGGAAGGTCAAATGTGTAGAGTAAGTACACTGTTGGCCCAGGCACACTTCCTTGAGGAACGCCGGCTTGTGTTTCATGTAGTGGTTTATAAGCGCTTTCGTATTTTACTCTAAAATATCGATCAGAAAGATACGATTTGAGAGAGACTTTGCTGAAAGCTTGTGCAACATCCAAAAATACGGCGAAGCAGACTTTATTTTCTTCCATTACTATTTCGATAGTATTCGTTATTTTACGGCCTTTTTGTTCTATGACAGGTTTTAGGCTTTTTAATAATAATTTTTCAAGTGGTTTTGATAGTAAGGGTAATAATGAGATCAACTCTAAAAAAAGGATACTTTAATTAATAATTGGCGATATATCCACAAAAATCCTTCAAGAAATGGATTCTATATCGAATTTTGAAAGTTATCGATGAAAATTGCAACGTCGAAAAGTTTATCAAAACTTCAAATATTGTTTTCTCAAAAACTAAAAGTTATTTTCCAAAACGGGTTGGTTCTATGGAAAGAGGACACTTTTATTGACATTTTGGGAAATTTTCGAACTCATATTCCAAGAAATCGATTTTATACGAATTTTTAAAATTTAATTGGCGAAAATTGCAAAATTCGAAAAAAATGTCGATTATTTCAAAAATTTTTTTCTCAAGAACTAAAAGTGATTTTTCAAAACGGTTTTTTGCATTAAAAAGAGGATACTTTAATTAATAATTGGTGATATTTCCACAAGGATCCTTCAAGAAATTAATTTTATAGCGAATTTTGAAAATTATCGATGAAAATTGCAACATCGAAAATTTTATCAAAACTTCAAATATTGTTTTCTCAAAAACTAAAAGTTATTTTTCAAAACGTGTTGGTTCATTGGGAAGAGGACACTTTTATTAATATTTTGGGAAATTTTCATACTCATATTCCAAGAAATCGATTTTATACGAATTATTAAAATTTAATCGGCGAAAATTGCAAAATTTGAAAAAATGTCGATTATTTCAAAAATTTTTTTCTCTAGAACTAAACGTGATTTTTCAAAGCGGCTTTTTGCATTAAAAAGAGGATACTTTAATTAATAATTGGTGATATTTCCACAAGGATCCTTCAACAAATTAATTTTATAGCGAATTTTCAAGTTATCGATGAAATTTGCAACAACGAAAAGTTTTTCAAAACTTCAAATATTGTTTTCTCAAAAACTAAAAGTTATTTTCCAAAACGGGTTGGTCCTATGGAAAGAGGACACTTTTATTAACATTTTGGGAAATTTTCATACTCATATTGCAAGAAATCGATTTTATACGAATTATTAAAATTTAATGACCAAAATTGCAAAATTCGAAAAAATTGTCGATTATTTCAAAAATTTATTTCTCAAAAACTAAGAGCGATTCTTCAAAACGGCTTGTTGCATTAAAAAGAGGATACTTTAATTAATAATCAAAAGTGATAACAGCGACAGTTATGTTAGTAATGAATGTGATAATGAATTACAAGTGAGGAGAAGAAAACTAGACGAAATTGCAGCAAGAGATTTTATATATCGTATTGTGATTGTTACAATGAGGTTGCTAATGACAAACCTGATATAAATACTTGATCATTATCTGCAGTGCCCAACACCTAAAAGAGATACTAATTTTACTTAGGTCTAAGATTAATGTGATAGACTGGAACTTAGTATTGTCATCCAGTGACCCCGATGTTAACGATCTGTATCGTGAGTTTTTAGAAATGTTCATGTATTTTTACGATATGTGTTGTCCGTTAAAACAGAGGCGTCCTCCTGCTGGTTGTGGCCTCTCAAAATGGGACACCCAGGAAATCAGAGATGCAGGTAGCCACTTGAAAAATACTTATTGGCTCATGACCAATGATTTCCCTGAACTTAAACCAAATTACACGAAATTGAAATCTAAGTACAAGTCCCTCATAGACAATACAAAAAAAAATGATTTGTCAAATAAAATAGTGATTTGAAAATAGCGTTTTGGTAGTGTGTTAAGAATGAAATCGGTAAAGATACACGGAAGAGTACTGCTTCAAAGTACTCCGCCACGATCGATTATTTCAGGTATAATCTAGGATAATAATCTAGGAATACTAGATAGAGGTAACTTCGCCCGTGGCTTATTTTTCGATTTGACTCGTGCCTTCGACTCCTTATCTCCGGAGTTTGTTGGTTACAAACTGTTCATATTAGGGATCCGTGGTCCGATACTCGACTGGGTCATTTCTTTATGACTGGTCGTAGTATGAGAGTCATCATCAGAATATACTCCAACTGACCCGGGAGTCCCCCAGGGCTCCATTCTTGGACCCTTAATATTTTTATTATTTATTAATGACCTACCCAAGAACATTGACACGGAAGTCCACTTGACAATGTATGCAGACGACACATCCATTGCCTGTAACTTGTCCTTTAGATCATATATAGACCAGGTATGCTCCAGATTGAATTCCGGTTATTATGCAATATTAAGGCTAAAATCGTGTTTGGCTGAAGGATCGATATTACAAGCCTATTATGCATTGTGTTTTTCTCACCTTGCATATAACATCTTAATATGGGGTCTGGTTACCGATTGGCAACGTGCTTTTGTGTCACAAAAGAGAGTGTTGAGAATGATTTTTGGGCTCGGAGTCGCTGAATCATGCAGGGCTGTTTTTAGGGAACAAGAGTTGCTGACTTTTCCGTGTATCTATATATGGAAAGCCGTAATTTTTGTTAAGAAAAATATTCAACACTTTAATAACCATAATAATTGTTACAATACGCGAAATAGTAACAGTCTGCCACTGCCCGTGCACAGAACGTCTTTGTACGAAAGAAGTCCATAATATAATTTTGTTAAATTATATAATCGGCTTCCGAATAGTCTATCTATAATAAATAAATGAACTAAACAGTTTTAAAAGTAAAGTTAAAATATCCAGCCAGCGGGAGTATCTCTCTGATACCTTAGTAATCTAATTTCATTAAAATGTTAATTGTGAATTTATTGTGCTTGGAGTACTAAGTAGTAAGGTAACTATCCGGTATCCGGTCGGATTTAAAAAAATGGCCGGATAGGCTGGATATCCGTTCCACCACTAGTCTATATGATGTAACATCTGTAGGGGGTTTACCAGGTTTTGGTATCATTATTATTTCAGCAACTTTGCATATACTTGGGAAGTATTTCTGTTTAAAAGCAGCATTAATTACGTGTAATAGTTTTGTAATCGCCCGTTTTGGTAGATGTTTCAATGTTTCTCCATTAATTAGGTCATAACCTGCTGATTTCTTCATATTTAGTTTTTGTATTATTTCATAATACTCTGCTAGTTACTTTGAGTTATGCTAGGAACATTATTTAACATAGTTGTTGGACTGTCTGATGTAAAAGTTTCTTTCAGATGTTCAGCAAACAAATTAATTTTTTCTTGATTGCTCTTAGCCCAATTTCCATTACTATTTTGAATTGGAGGTGTATGTGTTTATGGAACTTTCAGCTTTCTTGTTGGCTTCTACAGAGAATAATCAGTACTGGCATCGTCAGTAACATCTTTTAAGTATTTTTGAATATTATTTTGTTTGTGGCATTAATCGGTTAATGCTCTTAATTCGGCTGTTGTTTTATTTAATTTAGTTTTATCACTAGGAGTTCTATTGCTTTGTCATTTCTTTCTCGCTTTTCGTTTTTCTGCAATTTTGTTTCTAATGAATTTAGGATACAGTGAAATTCCCCTAACTCGAACTTCTATATCTCGAATTATCCTCTAAGTCGAATAATTTTCGTAACCTCAAGCGTTTGACTAGGCTTCAAATGTGTTTTTATCTCTCTAAGTCAAATTTCCCTAACTCGAATTTCTCTGTAACTCGAACTGAACCACTATGGAATTTCTTCAACTTTTACTTCTATAAGTCGAATTTACCAAAGAATAAAATATTCGAATCCGCTGTGTAAGTAATTTTAACTACAGAATCAAACCACATAGACTCTGGATCAGAAACTACAGACTCTTGAACCAAAACAAATCTGATGTTCTTATCGTAAGATGAGGCTACATTGGAGATGTGGTGAAAAAATACCTAAATAGACAAGGGAAGGAGGTCAAGGTCTTCAACAACAACAGTCCAGGTCCAGATTTCATCGATTCTTTTATCGTTAGAAACAACCTGTCCATCAGAATTAACATTAATAAAAATACATTCCTTAATGCTTCAGTTATATTTTCAGGGGAACTTGACCATCTGACATGCAAAGTAAGAGATTGTCCCTAAAACGAAGTTTAGTGTCCAAGANTCGATAGGGTGGTTTTTAAATAATTCCAAAAAAATAGGGGTAGTTCGCCCTTTTTAACCCTCTGCTATATGTGTGACACATCAAAAGAAAGCTCTTTTAAAATGAATATCAGTTACAATTTACCAAATTTTGATAGCACTTTTCGTTTTCAAAATATAAGTGAAAACGTACTTTTTCTCCAAACTTTCAACCCCTATAACTCGCCCCAGGGGCTTTTACCGCACGTATAAAAAAATGTGCGAACCTTATTTTGGCCCATTCTATGACTGTACCAAATTGCATCGAAATCGGTGAGACACAGTTGTGACACTTCCCTTGTAAGTCAAATTTCCCTAACTCGAATTTCTCTGTAACTCGAATTGAACCACTATGGAATTTCTTCAACTTTTACTTCTATAAGTCGAATTTACCAAAGAATAAAATATTCGAATTCGCTGTGTAAGTAATTTTAACTACAGAATCAAACCACATAGAGTCTGGCTCAGAAACTACAGACTCTTGAACCAAAACAAATCTAATGTTCTTATCGTAAGATGAGGCTACTTGGCCACCCCAGGACTACATGGACAAAACGCATACGTGTTCAGTCCTGTGTCATAAAAGCGAGGTTAGGTAATGTTTTTGTTTCTTGTTATCAAAGGAAGTCACTGATTAAAATTTGTGTGCACGTATCAAAAAACTCTAAGGTCCAAATCCTACACGAATTACAAAGTGGAAGACTTGGAAAAGGCTATGGATGCAGTTCGGAAGGGGATGTCAAGGAAAAAGGCCGGAGAAACGTTCAAAGTGCCTCGGACAACATAAGTACGGAAGATGCTTGGAAGGAATTCAAGACCCGTTGGTCATTCGACTGTTTTAAGCAAGTCTGAGGAGCTGTTGATTTCTGAAACTTTAGCTGTTGTTGCTAATTGGGGGTTCCCCTTAACAAAGGCCGACATTGGAGATTTGGTGAAAAAATACCTAAATAGACAAGGGAAGGAGGTCAAGGTCTTCAACAACAACAGTCCAGGTCCAGATTTCATCGATTCTTTTATCGTTAGAAACAACCTGTCCATCAGAATTAACATTAATAAAAATACATTCCTTAATGCTTCAGTTATATTTTCAGGGGAACTTGACCATCTGACATGCAAAGTAAGAGATTGTCCCTAAAACGAAGTTTAGTGTCCAAGAAGCCCTAACAACGGGGCTATTCGGACATCACTTCTTTATATATTTTTTGTTATTTGTATAAGGTATTTTCAATGTTTTATGATAGCTATATAATCCTGAAGGTTAGGTTGGTATGATGAACAAGTTTCTGTTGCCCTAACTTTATTTCTTCACTTTTAATCTTGAAAAACGTGTCCAAGCGACCCTATCTCACGGTATTGTTTCAGAATCAAATGAGGGTGATGATAATCTTGAAAACGAAATAGTTATCACTGCGCCTACATTTGATGAAGCTTATTCCTCTCTTAGAAAGCTTGAAACCTTTATATTGTCAATAGAGAATATTCCAGATAATATTCATAATTTAATAGAAGATTTTTTCGACAAAGAGCGATTGTCTACTTTAAGCCAAAAGAAAATTACGGATAGCTTTAAAAAACTTGATTAATTTTCTACTTTCAATAGTATTAAGGTTTCTGTTTTAAATATGCGTATTAGAAAAGTACATTTCTAATGTTTTTCTTTAGAGCTGATATTCTACTAATTTTTCTCTAACTCGAATTCTCCATAACTCGAAGTTTTCTTCCGCTCCCTTAGTGATTAGGGGAATTTTACTGTATATGTTAGATTTAGGTGTTAAAATAGGTGTTGAGATGAGATAATGTATTTTATTATTTAATGTTTGTTGAAGTAGATCCCAGTTAGTGATAAAAAGGGTTCTTTGTTACATACTTTGTTATTTAGAGTAATAATTATTGGTGAGTGATCTAAGTCCAGCCCTAACTCTTCTTCTATGTTTACTAAGTTAAGCAACATATTTTTCATAATAAAGAAATCAAGCAGGTCCGGAATTTTACTGCTATCTGTTGGCCAGTAAGTTGGTTTACCAGTGGAGAGCACCTCACAATTTAGGGCCTCTATTGCATGTTTCAGTTCTCTTCCTTTTGTATTTGTAGAACCGAGAAACCCAAGACATATGTTTTGCATTAAAGTCTCCTCCAAGTATAAATTTGTTTTCAAGATGCAGTAGAATTTCCTGATAATCTTCTTGTGGAAGTATTTTTTCTAGTATTAGATCTAATTTACTGTCAGCTTTTTCATCGACTAATGTACTTACAGTTTTCTCTGTACTTTCACCACTCTAATTAGTTCCACTTGTTATTCCTGGTGGCTTGTAGTTCCTTAATCAAAATGCATCCTCGGTAGTTCGCTGGATGATTTCCTCCACAGTTGACACATTTAACCGGGATTTCTTTGGCTTTAGTGCATTCGCTGGCCCAGTGTTCACCAGCGCATTTAACACATCTCGGATTTTTGTGGCAGTAAGTGTTGCTCTAACCTTGACACCTGTTTCACTGGGGCATTTGTAATGTTTGTTATTTCATGGATTCTTTTTACATCTTCTGACGGAGACTCTTAACACACTTAACACTTTACGCACGATTGAAAGCACATCCGCTTTTGAGCGAGACAAACCGAACTGATATTATTATCATAAAAGCATGATTTAATGATTTATGTTAAATTTAATTAATTATTATCTTCCTTAGGAGTATTTATTGTTGGTGCCAAACGTACACCTTTTGGCACATACGGAGGGAAATTTGTAAAAACCTCAGCGACCGATTTACAAGCGGTAGCTTTTAAAGCAGCTTTAACCCAAGCAAACGTACGACCAGATTTGGTCGATTCTGTAATTTCAGGAAATGTTATGTCCGTACGTATAAATACAACCCCCTTTTTTCGTCACCATTCACAAAAATTATTTGTTTAGAGCACATCTTCAGATGGAACCTTTTTAGCTAGACATGCTATGCTTAAAGCGGGTGTACCAATCGAAAAACCCGCATTAACTGTAAATAGATTATGCGGATCTGGATTTCAATCGGTTGTAAATGGATGTCAGGTTATTACAAAATTATCCCCCATTAAACAAAAATGATTGTTATATTTTTTTTTGTAGGAAATTCATTCCGGTGCTGCAAGAATAGTTTTAACTGGTGGGGCTGAAAATATGTCGCAAGCGCCCTACAGCGTTCGTAACATAAGATTTGGTACAACGATGGGTGTTTCCCCGGTTTTAGAAGATTCTTTATGGCTTGGATTAACGGATACTTATTGCAAACTTCCCATGGCGTTAACGGCTGAAAAATTGGGAGCGCAATGTAAAATAACAAGAGAAGAAGTGGATAAATTCTCGTTAAGATCGCAACAATACTGGGTGGCCGCTCAAGAAGCCGGGAGATTTAAAGAAGAACTCGCTCCGGTTTCCATTAACATGCGAGGAAAAACAGTCCAAATCGAAGTTGACGAACATCCTAAACCAAAAACCACCGCAGAAGGATTACAAAAATTACCCAGTTTGTTTAAAGAAAATGGTTTAGTCACAGCTGGATCTGCTTCGGTAATAAAACCAATAAAAATGTTATTACTCAAACTCTTTTGTTGCTTTTTTATAGGGTATTTGTGACGGAGCCGGAGCTATTGTTCTTGCAAGTAACGAAGCTATTAAACAAAACAACTTAACCCCTCTTGCAAAAGTAATAGCTTACTCATACGTCGGTGTTGATCCAACTATTATGGGAATCGGTCCAGTTCCCGCAATTCAAAACGTTTTAAAAGCGAGCGGGAAATCTTTAAGCGAAATTGATTTGATTGAAATAAACGAAGCTTTTGCAGCTCAAGCTTTGTCATGCGCTAAGGAATTAAAATTAGATATGGATAAGTTTAATGTTGATGGTGGAGCTATTGCTTTAGGACATCCTTTGGCTGCCTCTGGTTCAAGAATTACAGCTCATTTGGTTTATGAATTGAGGAGAAGGAAAGGAAAATATGGAATTGGTGCTGCTTGTATTGGAGGGGGACAAGGAATTGCCGTTATGATTGAATCGTTGTAATGGTTTTTATTAATTTTTTTAATGGATTTGTAAGATTAATTAGCTTAAAATTATTACTTTTTTAATCAATAAAGAAATATAGATTAATTTTGCTTTTATTACTATTTTACGAATTATAAACTATAGAAAAATATTAGGATTAATCCCAAAACGTCCTGATGAAAGATTTAACAATTCTTTTTTAAAATAAACAGCTTCATCATCATATTTTGCAATTTTATAAACAACTTTCTGGGATTTCCCAGAAAATAAGTAGTTGTTTCGTTTTAAATAATCAAATGATATAGAATCGATCCAAATTAACAAATCTTGTCCATTCATTGTATTTTTTATGTTTATAACATTCCATAACTTGATTGATAAACCAACATTTTCGCTTTCAATTTGTTTTAAGATTTCGTTATGGTCTCCATTATAACCAGGAATATGAAAATTAATTTTTACATATTCAGGTAAATCGGTTGCAACGCAAATTTGCAACTTTTCATCTGACCAAATTGATTTATCTTGTATTTTTGGGCAAAGCCAATTCGCTGTTTCCATATCAACGCAGTAAACGTGTACAATCCCGTTTATTAATGTTGCATCATCAAATTTTGGGGAAATGTTATTGTGAAAACCAACTGAATCTATTTCACTAAGAATGTAATCTTCAATCAGTTGGAATTGTTGCATGGTTATTTTGGAATTTGGATAATTCTGTGTTGTTATTGCCAAATCAATTGAATTGTTTCGATTAAAATTTGCCATTACAAAATAAAATGTTATACTGTTTATGTTTTGAAGGTATAAATTATTAGATGTTTGTTTCAACTTGAGGTGGCGCTAAAGATTGATACAGTTTAGTGACTGCTGTTTGTACAATTTGTTGAAATGTTTCGTCTGTTGGACAAGACACTTCCTGTAAAAAAAAAAAACATAAATAAAATAATTTTAAAAATTAATCCAATAAATAATTAATGTTTCCTTAAATAATATCTATAAGTATAAGAGTAATGTTATGATAATAGCATACCTGATAAAAAAAATAATTTTAATATTCTACACTTTATATACAACGTTTTTAACATGTGCTTCACGTAAAACGTAAACATTAACCTATAACTAATCGGTTTAAACCGGTTTAAGATTTAAAAGATGTTCTGTAGTCGATAAAACAGTTTTCTTAAACAGGGAATTTTGTTATATCATACAAAGTCATATCAAAAAAAAACTTGATATCATGTTATTATTTTGAAATCAATTTATTAAACGGACGCACACAGGCGAATTTTTTAAAAATCTTGGCCAAAATTGCAAAAATTTAAGGAATAAGATTGAAAATGCAATTATTGCTATTTGATTAAGTAAATCCCAAGGCGCCTTGAAACACCTTCTTTATAATTATTGTAACAATCGCCACCAAAATATTTTAGTTGTCAATTGATTGTTTAGTAAACAGTTTTCACCTAGATAAAACGTCGGTAAAAAGTGTGGTTTTTAATTGATTTTTTCCTTTACACTTCTTTTATATATTTCGAAAATTTATCATAGAACCTATTGCTGGTGATAAGTAGAATTGTATAATATACAGAAAGTAACAATTCGNAAATATAGGTAGATACAATTAAGTAAAATCGCAGTATATCATAAAATACTTCATCCTTGTTAATTGTATAGATATTTTTTAATTTCCACCAATTTTGAAGTAAAAAAATTGACAAAAATATCTTTTTGACCAAGATTTTTAACTAATTCGCTTCTGTGAGACGTTTAAACATTTATTCAAATCAATTGAAGAGAGAACAACTTGAAACAATTTTAGTTGTTTTAGTTCAAAAAAATGACAATTACCGGTTCTACCGCCTCGCCCGTAAGCGACCTCGACGAAGTGAGGATAAACGACTTTACATTCACGTGTTGTACTTTAAAATACATCACATGAACGATATCATCCCAATATCACCGAGGTTTGCGGTCGAGGCACTAGAAACGACAGTTTATAACAGCTTTACATCAATGTGATTACATATCCAGTGCCTCGCCCGCAAGCGACCTCGGCGAAGTGAAAATAAATTAAAGTGTTTAAAAATTTGCTTTTCAAGACATCAAATGAACGATATCAGCTAATATCGTCGAGGTCGCTTGTGGGTGAGGTGTTGTATGTGTAGTTACATCAACGTAAAGCAAGTATAAACTATAAGTTCTAGCGCCTCGCCCGCTAGTGACCTTGGCGAAGTGAGAATAAACGATTTCACATTCAAGAGTTGTACGTTTGGTTCACTTTCCAAGACATTAAATGAACGATATCATCCAATACCGCCTCGGTCGCTTGCGGGCGAGGCGCTAGAATTAACAACTTATACCAGCTTTACGTTAATGTGACTATATATACAGCCTCTCGCCCACAAGCAACCTCGGCGAAGTACCGATTTTTTATTCAAGTATTGTATACAGGGTGGGCAAATTTGGGTGTTATTATAGGCTATCTCAGAAACTGTAAGAGATACGAAAAAAGTAGGTGACATGTTCCAGTCTCTTTTTCCGAGACTAATCCAATCCCGCAAAGACCAAATCTCTATCTTCTTTTGTTTTTAAGTTATATCCGAAAAGTCAAATTTTAGCGATTTCAAAAAATGCTCATATTTCGTTTATTTTTGAAATTAGAGAAATGGGGTTAATACATTCTACAGGCACTTTTTTGAGTAGAATATACAGTCGTTGAAAAATTTTAAACATAGCACATAATTTTTGAGATATAACAAAGTTGTATTTTTTGCAATAGAAACCATAGTTGATTATGATGTTTTTTTAGCTTTCCAATTATGTATCGCACGCATGATGTATCTGCAGAAAATAAGCGTTATTTTTCAATTCTAAAATATTAAAGATTAAAATTCAAATTTTTAATTATAGTAGGCGAGGAAAACGCTAAATCCTACTTAGTTACTATAGCAACGTGAGTTTACTTGTCATTTAAGAAGTTCCGCATTATCTTTAAATAAAACGATAAAATTAAATATAGAATATATTGGAGTCCGCTTTGAAGATGATACATAAGTCTTCATGTCTTCTTCTGAAAGTCCGCTCCCAGTTTATGATCCTTAATTTTCCTATATCTCACCCAATTTTAAAAGAAAAGATTGCTGATATCAAAAAACTTCTACATCTTATGTTTGGGGAAAACTGGGAAAATAACCGTCTTCTAACCGTACAACCAGTAAGTTTAGTAGAAGAAGCTGGCAGTCTGTGACTGTTTAGTTCCTGAAGTTGTTGTTCATATTTAATTATTCATTAATTAATACATTTCTTGTATTTTTAATAAACAAACTTTACTTGCTAAAAAATGATAAATAAGATGCTATTTAAAATAACTATTCAAAGTTTTTATTCGTTGGTACAAAACCAACTTTATTCTGTCATATTCGTGCAAAACCATATAGCCACTAGGTAGTATTTACTGTTCTACTATAATCAAAATTTTGAACGTTTTATTTTTTGCAAATACACCATACATGCGATACATCATTGGGAAGCTAAAAATATGCTCTTTTCAGTAACACCATAATCTACTATAGTTTGTATTTAAAAAAGTACAACTTTGTGCTGTATCTCTACAATCATCAAGTATGTTTAAAATGTTTCAACGGAAGTACATTCTACTTTAAAAAGTGTTTTAAGAACGTATCAACCCCATTTCTCTACTTTCAAAAATAAACGACATATGAGTATCTTTTGAAATCACGAAAATGTGACTTTCTTGCTATAATTTGAAAACAAAACAAGATAGCCTATAATAACATCCAAATTTGCCCACGCTGTACACTTGGTTCACTTTTCAAGACATCAAATGCACAATACCATCTAATATTGCCGAGGTCGCTTGCGGGCGAGGCTCTAGATACAATAGTATACACGAGCTTTAGATTGATATAGTTACATAACTACTGCCTCGGCCGCAAGCGACCTCGGCAGAGTGAAATTAAATGATTTCTCATTCACCTACTGTACACTTGGTTCACTTTTCAAGACATCAAATGCACAATACCATCTAATATCGCCGACGTCGCTTGCGGGCGAGGCGTTAGATAGAATAGTATATACGAGCTTTAGGTTCAAGGTTTATAGAACATAAGGTTACCTAATTCCCTATGCCTCTGTAGTATCGATTATTACCCCGCAGATTGACGTCACTGGTTCGATACAGTCAGAGTAAAAGATAGCCTATACGTGCCTATACTGTGGTACAGTCTATATAAAATATTTAAACCTCGCATCGTGTTGTGTTGTTCATAGAACCAGCTACGTCACTGACCCACCTTGATTCTCAGAGGAGGAGAACCGGTATTGGGTAACCTTATGTTCTATAGACCTTGCTTTAGGTTGATATAGTTACATAACCACTGCCTCGGCCGCAAGCGACCTCGGCAGACTGAAGATAAATGATTTCTCATTCACCTACTGTACACTTGGTTCACTTTTCAAGACATCAAATGCACAATACTATCTAATATCGCCGAAGTCGCTTCCGGGCGAAGTGCTAGATAGAATAGTATCCACGAGCTTTAGGTTGATATACAGTGTCTTAATTATCGTACCCGACGTCATCATTGCAAGTATGCAACCAATATCGCAAATCGCGTATTGCAATACGAATACCGTGATATTGGTTGCATACTTGCAATGATGACGTCGGGTACTGTAATTAATTAACACAGTGTAGTTACGTACATAACCACTGCCTCGCTCGCAAACGACCTCGGCCGAGTGAAGATAAACAATTTCTCATTCCACTGCTCTACACTTGGTTCACTTTTCAAGAAATCAAATGCACAATACCATCTAATATCTCCGAAGTCGCTTCCGGGCGAGGCGCTAGATAGAATAGTATACACGAGCTTTAGGTTGATATAGTTATATAACCACTGCCTCGCCCGCAAGCGATCTTGGCAGAATGAAGATAAACGATTTCTCATTCACCTGTTGCATACCTGGTTCACTTTTCAAGACATCAAATGCACAATACCATCTAATATCGCCGAGGTCGCTTGCGGGCGAGGCGCTAGATAGAATAATATACACGAGCTTTAGGTTGATATAGTTACATAACCACTGCCTCGCCCGCAAGCGACCTCGGCAGAGTGAAGATAAACGATTTCTCATTCCACTGCTCTACACTTGGTTCACTTTTTAAGACATCAAACTTACAATACTATCTAATATCGCCAAGGTCGCTTGCCGGCGAGGCGCTAGATAGAATAATATACACGAGCTTTAGGTTGATATAGTTACATAACCACTGCCACGCCCGCAAGCGACCTCGGCAGAAGGTAAACGATTTCTTATTCAACTGTTGCTTTTAGACTTGCTAAGTTTTACTCGTTTTTTAGATTGACAGTTCCACTAAAAAGAACATAACCTCATTTATTATAATCACGCTCTATCGCCCTTTTTACATGGCACAGCATTAAAAAATAAATTGGTTAAATTTGCTTGAAATTCCACAAAAATTATTATATTATTAAATTACACAAAAAACGCCCCAACTTGTAACTCTGTTATTTACATTCCGATTTTCACGACCCAGGTATCAAATGAAATGGTTTCATAAATACTATGATTCATACTACAAATAATTTTTTTCCAACGCCATCTTCAAGTTCAAGCGATTATTAACTTTTGTTTTTTAAATTGCTGCGTATATTTTTCTTCACGTCATTGGATAGAGATTGGTTTTCTGAATCCATTGATGTACAATACATCCATTTTAAATGTAATTTTAGCAGAAAAAAGATAGCTGTATTCAGGGTGTTCCGTTGACTCGGGGCATAAAATTAACCTCATATACTAGTGCAAAAATGATGACGATTCGTGAAAAAAAATTATTATAAAAGTCTTCAAATGGCCAAGATATGGGCCATCAAAGTTCAGAAATTTTAACACATTTTTCTAAATATTTTCAATACTATTTATGGTAGAGCGTTGAAATTTGGTACAGGGTAAACAAAACTCAAGCAAAATCATTGAACCAATTTTGAAGTTATGTTAGAATTTTTGTTATGTTCTTGTTTGTTGTTACCGTGAAAATTAAATTTATTGTTTTGGAAATTACATTCTTTTATTCAACTAAAATAAATTAACACTGGATTTAACTAAATCTGCACTTAGAAATTTATGCAAATAAAAATTATTAGCTCAGTTTGTTTTTCAATTGTCATCGCCAACTCAGATCTTGCGGAATATGTTTCCTTTTTTTGTTTGTTACGATTGAAACCGAAGCTTAATATTTTATGTTATATGTTATCAAAATTTTCAAAGAGTGATAAAAGTTTCTAAAGTAAATTTTCTATTAAAAAGTATAAAAATAAATGTAGGGTTACGAGCAAACAAATTTTAAGGACACTCTGTATAACATGGTTGCCGCCGCCCGATCCAAATTGGTTCAATGATTTTGCTTGATATTTGTTTGCCCTGTACCAACTTTCGACGCTCTACCACAAATGGTATTGAAAATATTTAGAAAAATGTGTTAAAATTTTTGTTAAAATTACATTCCGATTTTCATGAGCGAAATATCAAATGAAAAGGTTTGATGAATACTATGCTTCATGCTACAAATAAACTTTTGCCAACGCCATCTTCAATTTCAAGCGATTATCAACTTTTCATTTTCAAATTGCTCGATGTGTTTTTCTTCACGCTATTGGATAGAGATTCGTTTTCTGAATCCATTAATGTATAATACATCAACATTAATTGTAATTGTAGTAGAGAAAAACATTAAAATAGTTACTGAACATTCTCTTAAAGTCAGTTGTGTTATACTGTAGTGTGTCATGGGAAAAAATAATCATTTATAACTGCTCCAGGCATTGAAATATCATTTAATGACTGTTATCACTTTTGCGCATTATTTTTTTCCATGGCACACTATCAAACCATTTCATTTGATACCTTGCTCATGAAAATCGAAATGTAAATGACAGAGTTATAGCTTGGGGCATTTTTTGTGTGACACCCTGTATCTGTGTAATTATCAAAATCTTCAAAATGCTTATTGTACCCCATCATGATGTGGCTCCATGTACTTAAACTAATACAAAACTAACCCAAGTGAAATGAGAAGGGGTAGTGAATTTATAGCGAATGATGAGATCAAGAAAATGATCATATTCTGATCACTACCAATGTACAAAGAAGGACAAGTTCAAAGGTTCATTATAGAGAACCATAAAATCATGCGTAACTTTATTATCAATGGAATAATAAAAAAAAATAGTTTAAGTATTAATCTTCATACTTAACAGATCCTCATTTAAAGTTTTAACAGGAATCAAAACGCGTTATGCCCAAGATTTACAATTATAAGAATTACTCATACAATTTAAGAAGAGAATAAAATAATCAAAGGAAGAAATGTAGCGTTGAAAGATTAGTTTTAGGTGATACCTACCAAATTTGCAAGATCAATATCAGCTCTATTTTCCTTAACAGTCACATACAATTTCTCACCCTTAAACATTTTCGGTACAGAATCTTCTCCAAACATATCTTGTAACATTTCAATCAAACATTCCTAAATACAAAATAAATCAAATATATTGTTTATAAAATTAAAAAGTTTACCTTAAAATGCATCCTATCGACTTTAGCGCTTATTGACGATGATTTTATTGGAGCATCAAGAAGATCCGCTTGTAAAATAGCGGCAACTAAAGCGTCGGCGTACATATCATTAGTTGGATTTGCAACCCACTATAAAATAAATTGTTCAAAATACACTCAACATATAATTCCTTCAAATTACCTCCAAACTTATAATTTTATTGTCATATGATATATCAACAGCGTTAAATGCTCTCATTTTTTTATCACCTTCCAATGTCTCCACCAGTCCAGCTACTTGAGTGATAAAGTGGCGCAAAACAACAATTGACCCGGAATAATGTAAACTTTGTCTTTGCATTACTTGTGTCATACTCATATCGGTATACTCTAAAAGAAAATGTATTAAGAGAAATAAGTCATTTGATTTTTGAATAATCAACTTGATAAATCATTTGCTGCTAAAATGTGGTAATTAAAATTCCTTTTTACTAATATTCCAGATAATGTTTTTCCAGGCTTAGGACTCTCCACAGCCAAAGTACCCATAACCTTAGCAGTTTTTTCACCGCGGAAATACAATTCAACCGCGTGAGTATTCCTTGGATTATGAAGATGGATCACTGTGTTTGGATCGTCTTCGTATTCACGTTGTAAAGCGGCTTTAAGTCGACTCATTTCATTTTGTTCTCCATGAACTAAAACCTAATTAAAAAAAATTTCAATAAAAAAAAATTTTGAAGTCTTATATTTATATAAATAATATACCACATGAGGAGGTTTTAATATTCGAATAAATTCACTGGTTTGTTGATAATCGGTATGTGCCGAAAATGATATGTAATCCACAGACATTTTCAATGGAAGTTTTTGGCCAAGCATAGTTGTAATTTCTTCTGGCTCAGAAAGAATTGTTTTTGCTAAAGTTCCTTCAACACAATAACCTAAAATAGAATTTGAATTAGAAATGTAATTGGGATTGTAACAGAAGATTAACCTGCTATAATCACTCCGTTTTTGGAATCTGTACACCAAGATTCAAATAATTCTCTTGATAATCCACTTTGCATCATACCAGGTGATGCCATTATTACACACGGACCTATATCTTCAAAATGATCAATACCCTAAAAAATATAAAATTTATAAAAACAATTGGACCGCGTTATACATCACTTGACTAAGCGACAAATGAATAATGTTGAGAAAAACGGGATTTTCGTTTTCATCTCTCTAAAAATATAATACCTCTTAGAATAGACACACTTAGATAGGTTCAAACTATTGAAAATTGTTTGGTGCCTGTCGATTTTTATCACAGAACACTGATGATAGCTATCACAAGCACAGAGGGCATACAGGGTTTCTGTAAGTCGTGGCATAAATTTAATCACTAAAAATCTCTTATTTTATCCATTTTACAAACAAGTTTCTTAATATTTTTTTTTGTTTTGTTAAAAAAGATCACATATCAAAGTCGAAGTCAGATTATTAGTTACTAGTTTACAAAATTAAAGTTTAAAAAGTTGTAAAATGAAATTAAGAACGAAGTGTTACAAGTTTACAGGTTAAAATTTAAGAACGTCTCAAAAATCGATGATTTTTTTTAATCAATGTGAAATGACCCAAAAAACACGTTAAAAATAAAAAGAAAGTGCGGAAAAGTGACTAACACTAGATTAACTTCAGTTATAAAACTTCTATTATATGATAACTAACTTCAGGTTTAAAATGTCAACTTCAATTTTGACATATTTGTAATCTTCATTAAAAATCCTTTAAAATGAGTACAAACACGACATATTTATCTTCAATATTAATGAAGTTATGGTCAACTTCCGGTTAAGAATGTCAACGTCAATTTTGGCATTGTTGTGAAAAATCCTTTAAAATGAGTCCAAACAAGATACGTTTAATTCCAATATTACTCGAGATATAAGAACTTCCGGTTGGACATGTCAATGTCAGTTTGACATATTCTTAATTTTTATAAAATGTCTTAATATTTGTCACAAAAACAAAAATATAACAACACAAAAAAAGAATTAAGGTTGGTATTAATATTTAAAAATTAAATTGCTATCTTCATTGTTGCTAACTTCGGGTTTAATGTTTTTTATTCAAACTTTTTTGTTATTTGAGATAAGTGCGTTATCTTTGGACTCATTTTAAAGGTTTTTTAATGAAGATGACAAATATGTCAAAATTGACGTTGACGTTTCAAACCGGACGTGATTGTATTTCCATTAATATTAAAGTTAAATATGTCGAGTTTGGACTCATTTTAAAGGATTTTTTAAGAAGTTGACAAATATGTCAAAATTAAGAGTTGAAAGTTCGAACTTTTTGGCTTTTTGAGATAAATGCGTCAAGTTTGGACTCACTTTAAAGGTTATTTTATGAAGATTACGAATATAATAATAAAATTAAAGTTGAGATTGACAACTGAAAGTTTTTTCACTACTAAACCCGAATGTTTCTAGTTCTCGTTCTAGTTTTAGTTTAATAAAAATATACAACATAGTAATATCTTGTTAAGTTTGAGTTTTAGTTATATTAAACAAAAAGCGAAGTAGGCTGAAGACAATGTAGTACAAACAATAAGAAACCTGATTTATTTGGATTACAAATATTTGGATGTGAAGCATATGCAAAAGTACTAGAATACTTAAAGTTGAATTAAGATTAGATCAAGAAGTTAATCAAATGAGGAACGAAATTGATGAAGAAATAAAAGAAAAAAACAAAACAACTCAAGAAGAGCAAGATAAAGAAGATAGAGACAAGGAAGACGAAGAAAATCATAATAGAAGGGGACAAAGAACAAGAAAACCACCTGTAAAGTTCAAGGACTACGTGTATTTGACATTTGATGAAGCAATAAATGACGAAGACAAGAAAAAATTGCTAGATGCAATAGAAGAAGAAAAGAAGTCATTGAAGTTGAATCAAGGATGGGAATTAGTAAAAATCGAACAAATTAAGGGACAAAAGATATTGAGTAATAAATGGGTATTCAAGATCAAGGACGACGGAACTTATAAAGCCAGATTAGTGGTAAGAGGTTTTGAACAACCACAAGAACACATAGAAGAGTTATTCAGTCCAGTAGCAAGTATGAGCTGTATTAGAGCAATATTAGCAACAGCAGCTGCAGAAGCATATAAAATAACACAATTTGATATTAAAACAGCTTTTTTGTATGGTAAATTGAAAGAAGATGTCTACATGAAGATACCACAGGGATATAACAATTTAGAAGGACAAGTCTGTAAATTGAAAAAGGCGCTGTATGGATTAAGGCAAGTACCCGAAAGATGGAACAAGACATTTACAGATGCTATAGAAAGTATCGGGTTGAAATAACTGAAAACGGAACAGTGTGTATTTAAAAATGAGGATACCACAATTTTTTTAACTATACATATACGTAGACGATGGACTTATTATATCGAAAGATAAAACAAACACGACAATTTATTAAACAAACTGAAAACTATTTTAAAGTAAAAGTGTGGGAACCAACAACATTTCTTGGACAAAACATAAAATAAAATGAAGACTCGTTAAAACTTTATTAAAGGACAATATAAACCAAGTGCTTCAAAAATTTAAAATTGACAACAGTAAAAAAACTAAAATACCATTAAATCTAACTAATGTAAAACGTAGTGATAATCAAGAGATAAACAAAGACTTTCCATATCAAGAAGCAGTAGGCAGTTTACTATACTTAACTAACAAAACCAGACCAGACATAAGTTTCGCTGTAAACTTTGCTACTAGATATATTAAAAATACAAAAAGATGTGACGTAACTAATGTAAAAAGAATATTAAAATATCTACATACAAACAAGGATATTGGAATCGAATATACGCTTGAAACTGGAATAAGAAATTTAAAACTGCAAGCCTTAACAGATGCTAACTATGCAACGAAGTATGTTAAACGAAGGACCGATCAGTTGGACAACGAGATAACAGCCAATTGTTGTGTTATCAACCGCAGAAGCGGAGTACATTGCGGCGGCCGAATGCTGCAAGGAGTTACTACATATCAAGAGCTTTATGGAAGAGTTGATTAGTAAGAAATACAAACAACAATGTTGATAGACAATAGAAGTGCTATAGATTTGATCAACAATGGAATCTTAAACAGACGAAGTAAACATATTGACGTTCGTTTTCATTTTATACATGATATAGTCAAGTCAAAACGAATTAAATTGATCCATTGTAATAGTGAAGATAATTTAGCAGACTTTTTTTACTAAGCTATTAGAAAGAGTTAAATTTGAGGGATTTAGAGATAAACTAGTTGTTAGAATTTAAGTTATTGTTTTGTAAAACATCGTTTTTGTTTACTGGGGTGTGTTAAGTTTGAGTTTTAGTTATAATAAACAAAAAGCGAAGTAGGCTGAATGACAATGTAAATATAAAAACCACTACTCAGTTGTTACGTTCTGCCACAGCAACATACCATTAAAAAGCTAAATAAAAATATATAACCCAACATATCTTATGCGCTACCTACCACTGCCACTAGAACTAACACAAGACTTAGAACTAGAATCATTCGGGTTTAGCCGTCTTGAGAGACATGGAACTAAATCCGAAACTTTCTAGTTCTAGGTCTAGTATTGGTTCTAGTTTTATTGTTAGTGCAATAAAAATATGCAACATAGTGATATCTTATGCTAACTAGCGCTACCTACCGCTGTCGTTTGTAAAATGGATAAGATAAGATGTTAATCTATTGGTAGAATCTCTGAAGATGGCCAAGGGCCGAAACTAGTTAGACTTAAATTCTATATAAAATAAAAGACATAAACTTTTAATTTTATACTAACATCTAGATAACGGCACTGGCCCGAAATTGTAGGTTCATCTATTTTTTCTATTGTAGAATTTCTTGGTGTATCTAAGTGTCGTATCTAAGTCGGTTCTTAGACAAAAACGGACTTGAAATCGTATAACGTGATTGGCGCTTAGCTTTATCCTTTAAAATAAATAGTATTTTAGGTCTTTCGGTATTCTGCATTTTTTCTAAGATAAGTTACACCTTTATGAAAATCTCTAAAAACGATAATATGTCGCTTAGTCAAGTGATGTATAACGCGATCCAATTAAAAGTTAAAATTAAATTTCAAACATTTTTTGACATGATTATTCGCTATCCTTGTTTATCAATGTAGTCCCCCAAATCCCCACTCTACACAGTATGGCCGCCAGTTATTAATAATCAAAGCATAAACAATCAGATATTGTTGATAGTTAAAATAATACCGCTAAAAACCGATAAAATTTGTCAAACAAATCTAAAATTTAACAAAAAAATTGATATTTTTATCTCCAGATTAAAATGACCTTGATAAAATAAGCGATAAATACACAAAAAGTGATGCTTTAAAACACTTACACCACGAAATTATTTCAAAAACGAATATGTCGTGGAAATCGACTTTAATACGGCTTTTAGAAGATAACCGTGGTTTGGTGGTTCTTTTTTTCTGCCTCCCAGCAAGTTACATCTTCAATCTAATCCTTCACACCAAAAATTGGCTCTACAGAAAGTTTTATGGGAGTTCTCTAAATCACGATCGACAAGTGATAAAGATTCAAAATCAAATAAAGTCATGGAAGAAAAGTAATAGTACTAAATTACTCTGTAATGATCGTCCCAACTGGTTAAGTTTATCAACAAAGTTTTTTCAAAAACAAAAGTGCCATAAAGTGTCAGTTAATTTGGTGAATATCTTAGAATTAGATAAAAAAAATTTAACAATTCGAGTTGAACCAATGGTGACCGTTGGAGAAATAACCGAGTATCTTATACCGATGGGTTACACTTTAGCGGTGACTTTAGAAATTTCTGACGCCACTTTGGGGGGGTTAGCAATGGGGACAGGTATGACAACGTATTCTCACAAAGTCGGTTTGTATCAAGAAACGATAATTTCGTACGAAGTTGTTTTGGGTGATGGTTCAATGGTGACAGCAACGAAAGTTGTTAATTCAGATCTTTATAAGGCATTACCATGGTCCCATGGCAGTTTAGGATTTTTAGTTGGATTGACTTTAAAAATAATTAAAGTTAAGCCTTACGTAAAATTAACATACATTCCAATAAAAGGACAGAAAGAATATTGTGATAAAATTCGCTACCTATCCGGAGCTATTAATTGTAAAGATAAAGTTCCTGATTATGTTGAAGCCACGATTTATAATCGAAATGAGGCGGTTGTAATGACTGGAGAATTTTCGAATGGTGATTCTAATTTACCCATTAATCATGTTACAAAGTGGTACAAACCTTGGTTTTATAAACACACAGAAAGTGCTTTGAAAAAAGGGAAATTTACCGAATTAATTCCGTTAAGGGAATATTTATTACGACATAACAGAGCGATATTTTGGGTGGTCGAATCGATGATTCCTTTCGGAAATAATCCATTATTTAGGTAAATACTTTTAATATTCTTTGAGTTGCTAATTAAAATTAATTTTTTTAGATTATTTTTTGGTTGGTTATTACCCCCAAAACCAGCATTTTTAAAATTCACAACAACTCCAGGAATTCGAACTTTCACCTTCACAAATCAAGTTTTCCAAGACATCGTTTTACCAATAAACGAATTAGAAAATCAAATCGCGACCTCCGAGAAATTATTTAACACATATCCACTTTTGGTTTATCCATGTAGGGTTTACGATCACGGCCCGGAATCAGGACAAATAAAACGACCACCATCTAAATACTTAATTCCAGGAACGAATTATGCCATGTATAATGATTTGGGAATCTACGGTGTTCCAGGACATGTTAAAAATAAAGTTAAATACAACCCAGTTGCTGCTATGCGCGATATGGAAGCGTTTACGCGGGATGTCGGTGGCTTTTCATTTTTATACGCAGATATTTTTATGACGCGCGAAGAATTTGGGACGATGTTCGATTTAGAGTTGTACGAAAAAGTGCGGAAGCGGTATTTTGCCGAAGGGGCGTTCCCCCATTTGTACGAAAAAGTCAAACCAGAAATTGACGTTTTCGATATTGCAAAAAGATATGAATAAATAATTTAAAAAATTTAATTTTCTTACTTTTAAATTTGAAATGTGCTTGAAAACGAACGGATTGTTGATGGCAATTTGCCGCCGAATTCGATCATTCATCGCATTTATGTAAGTTTGATACACAGCCATACATTTTTTAGCTAAAGACGATGCGTAATAAATAGGGATGTCGTGCAATTCAGGATGTTGACTCCAATATTCATCTAAAATCAATTCAGTCACCTTATTTTTTTAATTTAAGCGTTAAAATACCTAAAATGAGTAACAATTCTTGTGCTCTTCCAAGAGCAAAAACTGGAATAAGACACCTTCCACCTCTATTCACTATATCATGGACAAGATTAGTAAATCTGCTTTCGCGTTCTTCGCGTTTTTCATGAATATGAGTCCCATAAGTTGATTCCTACAAAAAGACATAAATAAATAAATCATAAAAAATAATTAAGAAATAAAAAATAAAACTTACCGTTATTAAAACATCTGGATGAACGTTTGGTATTTCAGCAGCCATTAAATGTCTATCTTCTTGTCGTGAAAAATCACCTGTATATAAAATCTAAAACAAAAAATGTACGTATATATGATTTCATAAAGTAATCATTATAAACAGTTTATGGAAAAATGTCAAGGACGTTAGAATCTAAGAGGACTACTACACCCTGTGAACAGATGCAGAGTTTAATGGTCTGTTCGCAACGAATTAGTTTTGTGTGCGAAAAAAGATTTATGAAATGAGTTCGCGTGATCGTGATGTTGGTAGAAAATGTGAATGGGGTAGTTCAAAATGGAAAGGAGCTCTCAAAAGAAAGCAGGTAGAGAAAATCTACGATGGTTATTATAGTATAAATATAGTGTGCGCCAAAAGTCAGTTATCTATTACACCGACGTTTTTGAAATTTTGTTTATATGAGATGTTCCCGATCTTTGGATCTGAAATATTTTCAAGATGGCCGCATCTTCCGGTCTATAGAAAGTAGACCACAAAATCGTTGTTTTAAAACTAATGTACTGCTTTTTATTACATAATTAAATTCTTGATAGAAAAATAGGTTCACTTTTATTACCATTATTATTATGATCTATTGTAACTGATGCCCTCCAAAAGTCTAGAGAAATGTAGGTCCTTGAACCTTCGTATTGCTCCAAGGTCTTGTTCCTATACATGGGTTGAACATTTGTGAACATATTGTGTCTTAGACGACCTCTGGCAACGCATTTACACAGTATATGTTCAGCAGTGTCTGACTCGTCATTATAAAGTCGACAAGTTTGATCCTCAGCTTGTACAATGCGCAAGAGATGGTATTTTAGGGGCGCATGGCCGGTTAGGAAGCCTGAGAGTGACCTTTGGTTTTGTTTTGCGACGGAATTGTCGTACTCTTCGCTGGTCTGTGGCCTGGAAGTTCTGTCCAGCGTAAGACTATCTTTGAGCTTTTTTTGTAGTTCATAACCGGGTTGGAATCTAATAAAGGACATTTTCGCTGCCTCTTTCGCCAGCTTGTCCGCCTTTTCATTGCTCTCAATGCCTCTGTGACCTGGAACCCACCATAGACTAACATCATTATCCCGAGCGAGTTCTCTCAGATTACTGGTACACTCCCTGATTAGTGCAGAGTCACATGTGTAGGCCTGAATTGCCTTTAGGACGGCCCGACTGTCTGTGAAAATGTTTATGGATGCACCTTTCTGTCCCTTTTCTGTTTTTATATCAAGAACTTCTGCTTCTATTAGGGGCAATTTAATGTAGCTATTTGGTCCACCAATGCTCCAGATCTACTCCAGATCCAACTGTCTTTCAAGCGTCGGTGTACCAGGTGGCAAGGGCTCCTGTTTTATGTTCGTCCAATCGTGTCTGCTTCTAAATATGACCTTATATGGCTGGTCGAAATTATATACTGTGGGTATAAGGTCCGTTTTAATTTCAATCAAGTGGTTTAGACATGGGTCCTTGACGATTTCAAGATGTCCTCTGAGGTTACCCTGCATCAACTTGACTTAAAACTGCCTTTTTTTGTATGTATAAATGAAGTGGTGTGAGACCGTGTGCTTCAAAAGCAGCCGTCGGACAAGATCTCATTACACCAGTATTATTAAGACGTGCTAACCGCTGGATTTGTGTCATTCGTGATTTAACTTGGGTGCTTGGGTGTTCCTTCATAGGAGCCTGCGGCAGATCTCGTTAGTCATAATGGTTTTTTTCCCTCACCTTTACTATGTGGGAGTTCCAGTTTAATATATTGTCTAGTATTAGCCCTAAGTATTTGACTTCTGTTTTGAAGATAATAATTCTGCCTTAAATGAAAAAGTAAAGTGAAAGGAACTATTTCGATTTTGTTTGGACTAATACTGAGTCCAATGCTTCTGTATTAGTTGGGTTATGATTGTATCATATTTACCTCGGATTGTGATTACCAGGTCATCAGGATATCCCTGAATCACGAATCCAGTTTTTGTTAAGGTGTTCATCAAGTCATTAACTACCAGGCACCATAAGAGAGAGGAAAGCACTCCCCCTTGAGGACATCCTCTGAGTGCCTTAATAGTCAACGACTCGCCTCCCAGACTGGCTTTATCTGGTAACTTTTAGATTGACTTTGGTAGGGATAGTTGATACGTGGAACTTTAAAGATTTTGATTTATGGTATAGTGGTTAATATCAAAAATGGAAGACAATATTGAAAATTTGAAATATTTAAAATAACGATTTTATGGTCTACTTCCGGTAGACTTGAAGTGGCGACCATGTTAAAAATATTTTGGGTCGAATGACCAGAAAGATCATCTATATAAACAGGTAGGCATTGCACCAATGAAACTAAAAAAAAACAGGGTGTTGCTGACTTTTTAGCGGACACTGTATAAAATGTTGTGGACAAGAAAACTCTAAAAACCAATCATTGAGTGAAGGTGACACATTATTTCACCCTAACCCAACTGAAAATATTCCTTCAACATCCTCATGGCTGCCACCTAGTAACAGTGAGGATCTGCTACCGTCAACACTGAACCGCCTAGAATCTATTCACCCTATGTTTACACCCAGGACTAGAGGAATTGAAAATTTGTAAATTTTTAATGGACGGCAATTCAGCGAATATCATTCCAGTAAAATATTAGCTAATGGTGAAAAACTTGACAGGCGCTACAAATATTCTTTATTGTGTCGAAACTAATAATAATATTCGTGTCGAATGTTCGAATTATAGAGTACAAGAATTAGATGTAATGAAGGTGTGTGTAATTGGACACACTTGGGTAATTACATAAAGTCTCATGAATCTATCATGCTTTAATTTGAAACTAATCTCCTTAAAATAATTTTAAAGACAACGATGCAAATACAGGTTTAAACCGAAATAACTAAAAAAAATGGTAAATTCGAAAAATTTCATATTTGAAGATTGATAAATGGTAATTTAAAGGTTGTATGTTCTTTTTTAATAAATATTAAAAATATTGTCTCTGTTAGAATGATATTTTATGAAAGGAGTTTGACAAGATATGCATTTTAAGATTAAAATTGAGTAGGAATGTCAAATTAAAGCGTAAAACCTCTTCTTTGAGAAAATACAAGAGTTATTATTTTGGCATTAAACAGATTTTGTAAAAAAAATTGTTAAGACAAAGATGTTTTTGA